TCTGGAAAAGATAATCGCCAACCCACATTCATGAAAGAGCAGAGGAGGAAGGTAACCAACATTAATGACTATAAAATGAAAAGGACCAGAAAAGAGGCCAGATTATTTTCAGTAAAAAAGTAAGCTTATCTTTGTGGAAATGTAGTCCTGAACACAGATTTTAAATGTTAGGAGAAGAAAGCCAGGAAGCCATGTGTCAGTATATGCTCCTCCTACATACCCACCCCATCAAGAAAACAATGAACCAGACTCTTTTTCTTTTTTTTTTAAAGATTGGCACCTGAGCTAACATCTGTTGCCAACCTTCTTTTTCTTTTTCTCCCCAAAGCCCCCCAGTACATAGTTGTATATTCCAGTTGTAGGTCCTTCTGGTTATGCTATGTGGGATGCCACCTCAGCATGGATTGATGAGCAATGCTATGTCTGTGCCCAGGATTCGAACCAGTGAACCCCAGGGCGCCAAAGCAGAGCACCAGAACTTAACCACTCAGCCACAGAGCCAGACCCTGAACCAGTCTCTTTTAACAGGTGGAACAACTACAAAGATATTTTGAATAACTATACAGAAGTTAATCAAGAAAATATTCAAGCCAAAAACAGCCTATTCGATGGACATTGATACAGCCCCTAAAAGCAATTATTAAAGATGGCAAGTTGAATATTTTTAGAAATACCACACTAGTCACTATGCTTATAATTAAGAGGGTGTCAAAAATGCAATGTATTGGAGCCAGCCCAGTGGCGTAGCAGTTAAGTTTGCACATTCCGTTTCGGTGGCCCGGGGTTTGCTGGTTCGGATCCCGTGTTTGGACCTACAAACCACTTGTCAAGCCATGCTGTGGCAGGTGTCCCACATATAAAGTAGAGGAAGATGGGCACGGATGTTAGCTCAGGGCCCGTGTTCCTCAGCAAAAAGAGGAGGATTGGTGGTAGATGTTAGCTCAGGGCTAATCTTCCTCAAAACAAAACAAAAAAATGCAGTGTATTGTATTGGCCTATAAAAGACAGAAGCTGGTCGATGTCTTAGCAACCAGTTAGCAAATAGCAATAAGAGTTATATCTTGTCAAGTAAACATGTCAACATAGGATTGTTATAAAGGGAATGCTTATAGAGTTTATAGCACAAGGCTTCTTTTTAGCCGAATTTTCTGTGCCTCTCAGAAAACATTAACATCAGTTTAAAGCCAAGTTTTATGCTGTTATCACAGGTATCAGCGCATGTTACTGCATGGTTATAGTAAAAACAAAATTCAGAATATGTTTTATATCAGTAATGTCACACATCAGTGCTGTTCTTAAGCTAAGCAATAATTGTTTTTCACTGTAAAGGAGTACAAATTCATGACTTTGCTAACAGTTTATGACTGCTGAGTGAAAATATAGCTAACATTTACTGAGCTCATACTGTGCACTAGGAATGTGCTGAGAATTTCCTATGTATTATTTTAGAAAAGTACTATGGGGTAGGTACGATTTTATTCTCTCTGTTTTACAGATGGGACAGCTGAGGCCAAGAGAGTAACCTAACCATGGTACTCTACTTAGGAAATGTATTGGCGGAGGGTGAAAGTGAATGTAGGGGGCAGCAGATCAGATGACTGAGGATAAAGTAGGGAAAGGTAAGAGAGAGACAGCAATCTTGCCCAAGGCTACATTTCCAAGCCAGAGCAGTTATCATGGAGATAGGAGTCTGAGCCACAGAAAGCAGTAAATATGGGGAGAAGAGGAGTTTTCTAAGGGAAGACTAGGGCCTGATGTTTGTTTGAGGGGTGACTCTGGAGAATTTGAAAAGAGGAGAACAAGAGTTTGTGTGCGTGAAGGGGTAAGATTGTGAGAAACGCAATAACCCTGAAAGACTTGGTGAAAGAGAAGGCAGACTCCTCGCTGAGTAGACTGTAAAACCGGCGAGGTTTGGGGCGGATGTTCCTCCACTGTTTTCATGGTCAGTCTCCGCCCTCAACATTTCATCAGACCTTCCCTTCTTCCTCTGGAAGCTAGCATCTGGTTTTTAAAAATATGACTGGGCACTCAACCCCTGGGCATTTAGTTATACTATTTAGGTTTGTTTGGTCTGAAAGAGCTGCTTCTTGGTCTACAGGAATTGTCTACCCTCAGAAATATTCTTTTCGTCAATTATTGTTTTCCGCATATGTGTGCTTAATACATATTTTTAAGTATAGGTACTGTGATCCACCTCAGATATACAGCATACATTATTAGTACTCTCAAACAGGTAATCAGAGCTCATTCTCGATGACGTGTGTTGTTTATACTTAAATTTGACCAAGAATGTTTTTCTACTTTCAAGGGAAGTATTATATTTGCCATATATTGTCACAAGCTTATCTTTTCCCCCATAGCATCAAACACTGAAGCAATTGTTAAGAGTTGTAGAGCACTTTTCAAATTCAAATGAACAGAATTTAACATCAGCTTGATAGAACTATAACTTATTTTAGGGAACATGTTCTTTATCTCTTTCCCACCCATCACTCTTTCATTATGTTCTCTGATTTTGAGAAATGGATCTTGCATTATGTAAAATTGATGTAAATGCCTAATACAGTTTGTGTAAAAACATTGAAAGACTTTTTAAATTTCTATTTTGTTTTGAATGCATGCATCGTCAAGCTATATTTCATCTGCTTTACAGAAGAAAGGGTTAAAACTATAAAGAAAAGAGCTAGAATCAAAGATTATGAAAATTTAGAATATATAGGACTTTATCCAGGAAACTGGTTACAAAATTTTAGCTAATTTTATAAGAATTTTAAAAAGATATTTTCTAAAGGCATGTGTAAAATTATGTTATGGAAATCTTATTTTAAATTATTATTTTTTCTGAGAATTCTATATTTTGTCATTGAAAACAAAGACAGTTTTTTAAAAGTGGACCTCAGTATAGTGACGGCACTGGGGTGCAGAACTCGTTTAAAGAGTGCTGTGTCACCTCTGCCGTTTGCACTTTGCCCTTTCTCGGATGGGAAGGAGATGGTCAGGCACCCTTGCATGCCCAGGTGATGCCTTTGGCCTCTTCACTGTACAAATCTGGTTTGGAGCTGTGTTCCTGCATGGAATGCCCATTAACTGCCTGCTTTTAATCGATAATTGGGCATTAACTCCTCAAAAGTGCCATCATCAAAAACCACAGTCCAGGCCCTACTGTCCACCACCGAAGAATTAGACAATTATGCAGTTATTTGACTAGACTCTAAACATGTCTAATTTGGGAAAGAATAGTGCCCACATATACCTTAATGGAAAGAATGACCAGACCTTTGGCAATGTTATGACTGCTACAAGAACGTGATCACCTTCTCAGCTTACACCCAGACTGTGTTCCCAACAGAGAGAGATATACTCGGTAGAAAGAGAAAAACAGAATAAAATAGAATTCTTCTGTTGGCAGAGCATATGTATTTATACATTCTTCTTTGTTTAACTCAGTGGTTAGAGAGCACTGCCTGGGAAGACTGCAGGCCACAAATGCTTTCTATTTGAGCTTGTGCATTTCATCTCATTGGTCCTGGGGACAAGGTTCACTGCCCTGGAGGTGGCTTGGCTCGGTCTTTAAAACGTACACTAATGAATTTCAGGTTCGGAACAGAAAACGGCTGCTCTGTATCAGACAATCATGTGAACTTGGAATCGTTTCCCGTGAATGCCTTAAATAGCTCTGCACTGTCAGTCTAGACGGTGGGTGCTTCTGCATCTCCAAACACAGACAACTGATTACCCTTTTCAAGGTACTCAGTGCTTGCCTACTCTTAAAACTGAGATTTGGCAGATTCCTTTATTTTTGTAAAGGGAACATTGTGGGAGAAAATAGGGCCAAGATCATCTGAGTGCAATTGGGTGTATTAAGGACACTTAAAAATAACCTTAAAACAACTGAAAAGATTGGTTTGGGCTGAGTATGTTTGTTTTGTTTTTCTTCTCAGCTGTTTGAAGAAAAATTCAAAACAAAGTCATATTTCATACTTTTTTATGTTGCTACATCTTGCAATAGTTTAGAGATTTTATCTCATCTGATCCTGTTCACCCAGAAAGTCAAGGAAGTGGGGTAGTCAAATATGGAAACTTGTTTTATGTAGATGGGAAAGAAGTAAGCTAATGGAGTCCCAGATACCCCTTCCTCAGGACAACGGAGCCCGAGCCCTGTGTGACCCCCACCCCAGCCTGCAGGCCTCTGGCTGGCAAAGACTTGATTCTGACTAGCTTAGAAGACAGATTCAGGCACTCAGCTTTGCAGACATCTTGCCTGTATGCTCAGAGTGAGTCACAATTTGTGTTGGGCTGGAAGGAAAAAAACGTTGATTTCATGAATTCCTTTATCTGTAAAAGATTGACCATGGACTGTGATTTCCTTATGGAGTGGGAGAATTTCCATTCCTGTGTGTCATGCTGTATTTGTCCCAGTTATCCCATTCATTGTCTGTGAGGCTATGCACAGGCTCTGCAAGTCTCCTGTCTGGGCCTCCGTTTCCTCTTTCCTAGTTTCTGCAGGTTGGCTCAGATGATCTCCTAAGGCCTTTTCTAGCTTTCACAATCTGAAGATCAGTTTCTTCTGCACATAGGAGGTTGGGGCACCAATCGCATTGGTCAATTAAATACTATTTGGGTTGTCCAGCTGATAAACTCTTCCAGCAGAAGAATGGGAATGAACAGCAACACTCAAGTCCTGCAGAAAGTTTGTGTTGGGCTTGCTGGAATGATCAGGGGAAATCCTGTGTGATGAAGCACTTCTAAGTGCTAGGCAGAGGTTGTCAGATGACAGTGCCCCATCAGTGCTGGATGCTTACTGGGGCTGGTGGCCTGTTTGAGATCAGGAGAGGCAGCATGAGGTGGTCCTGCATACAGCCTGGTACCAGAAGGCGTTGGGTTCCTCCACACTCCTGATCATCCCTACCAACCCAAATGCCCTAGCCTTATACTTTGGCGAGTTACCTCACAGTTCTAAAACTCTGTCTGGTTATTTTTGAAATGAAGATAATGTCTACTTTTCAGGATGAAAAGCTTAACGAGAATATATTTGAAAGTGTCTAGCAAATAGGTAAAGCTTGATAAATAGGTAACTAAAACCAGCAATTTGTAAAAAATCCAAATAAGATAACCTTATTGAAAGCCAAGGAGGAAAAACTAACATTTGTGTAGTGAGTAACATTTCACAGAGTACTTTAGGACATATCATCTTTTAATCCTTACAGCCTCGTCTGACAGGTGCAGAGATACCTGCAAGTTCCCAGGGTCACGACACCTGGAAACAGTGGAGCGGAGATTTAAGTCTTCTGATTCCAAACTGTTGTGTTCCTTTACGATATGCTACCAACACACCATTACACTTGGTTGTTATATTTTATAGTTAAAGTTAAACTTCTAGATGGTTCTGGAAACGGAAATAAATGATCAGAAATGGTAATAGTACTTATTTGGGGGATTTCTTCTTATGCCCTTTTTATATGACTACAGCTATACTAACTGCCATTTAAGACAAACTCAGAAAACCCTGGCCAGTTGCTCCTCACTTTGTGGGATCTTAATTCCGAATCAACTCCTAGGGATAGCTGGAAGATTTGAATATCTCTGGGATGTCACTGTCCAGTTTCGAAATAATTTTATAAATGGGTTTCTTCCAGGAAGGATCTGAGTCTTTCCCTGCGGAGACAGCCCTGAAGAACTCCTGTAACGTCAAGCTGGCAATTTCCAAGAAGCAATCTGGAACCTGCATTCCCAAAGAGACCCACAAGAAAGAAAAGACGTGAGGCTGTGAAGCACTGGCGCCATACAGACCTTATTGCCTGATGCTGCCTGTTCCTTTGGTGATGGGCTGATAAGAGCATCTTTGCTCTACTGGACCGTGAATTTTGCAGCCCTAGGAATCCCCTGCTCCCTCATCAAATACAAACCTTAAAATGGTGGTACCAATGAGATGGCCCTGGGAGAAAGCATATTAGGGACACTCCCTTTATAGGAGGAGCTGATTCCACTAATGGCTGATGTTCAGGTGGGAAACTCTGACTCGGATTGAAATTAAACCTGTGGTTCAAAAGAGTTTTTTAGTATTCTTTTCCTTGGTGCCTAATGTGGAAAGGAGTGCCTCCAAGTGTATGACTGTCGTACCTCATCCCATCATCTTTTGAGGCTGGATTCAAAGGACTTGGAATCATTCCTGCTTCCAAAGCCAACTATGAGGTTGAGGAGGGTCAAGAATATGTTCCAGGACTTCACCCAGACTGGCACCGTAAATGGTGGGGAGTCCCACAGGTCCCCCAGACCCTGCCTGGCTTGAAGCTTGCCACCACTGCATGCCAAATGACCACCCCCACATGGAAAGATGTGGCAGCATTACCACTCCCACATGGCCCGACCCCACGAGCCTCAGAAGGAGGGCTAGGTCTCCAAACGGATTCCGATGGAACATCCGACTAGTGGATGCCAGCAGTTCTTCCCTTTCTTGGAGGTGTCGATAGACTGCTCTTTGTGATCACAGTCAAGTAAGAAAGGCAAGAAGAAGGAACTGTAGTAGGCGGCCAGACACACCTGGCACCTGCAGAACAAGACGCCAGCCTCACAGAGCTGTCAGTCACGCACAAGGAAACGTGTCTGGATTAGGAGTTCTTACAAATGACACTTAGGCCACTTGCTCACCCTTTACTGACACTTTACCTCTAAGGTGCCACCAGTGTGCCTTCATTGAGATCCCCAAAGGACTGAGAAGCTTGAGTACTGTTTATTCATTATTTCTGGAAAGGATCTGAGGTGACTTGCCATAGAAGGCCCACAAATAAAACTGTTCAAGTGAGAATAAAGATAAGAACAAAATGATGAAAAGAACAGAAAATGTTGTAGAGAAAACCTAGGCCAAGACTAGGTGCTGCAACTGAGCCCAGTCCTGGGCCTCCTGGCGCTCAGGCAAAAAGGTCAACAAGTTATATAACCTGGTAAATAAAGAGTATTAAGTCTAAAATGGCAGAAGAGCTGCAGACCTCTGCTTAAGTTTCAGAATGAAGATTGGCTGTATATTCAGTTTGCAGCATCCACCTGTTGCCTAAGAGAAGCTATGGAGGCTGTAATCTTTGTGGATAATACAGGGATTGGCCCCAGGCTGCCCTGGCTCTCAGTGACTTAAGGACAGACACAGAGGGGGATCTTTTCCAAAACTCCAATCACAAAGGGAAGGTACCCATGAGACCTCATGGGACCCAATTACATGGTCTTACCTCAAAGTCATTTCCCTTGTTGTAGTGCATATTGAGAGCTCGAAAAAGTTCTGAGTCGCGGAGTACCACCAGCATTTTGGGATTTGTGACACCATCTGAAATCGCTTGCCGGGCAAATTTCTCCATTTGGATGTAATAAAACTCACGAAAGTTGCTGAACCACTTGATCATCTGAGAGGTAATGCAGCGGTTGAACTGTACAAACAAGGGGTCCATCAAGTCAGACGTTTGCCAGGAGGTGCTCAGAGTCAGAACTGTCAGCTTCCAGTTCAACATTGGGTTTAATAAGAATGGCTTCAACCAACATTAAGAAGGACTTCCTTTACAAAAGAAGCCACAGCTCTTTTCCAGGCCTATTCACTTATACACAGAAAAATCTGAACTAGCTATCATGCCCATTAGAAAATAATTGTTTTTGTATATACTAGATTTCTGAAGGTTTTTTACCCACAGAAAGCTTTCCACGGTGTGTAATTGTGACTTTGGGAGGGTCGAGGGTCAAGGCCAGTGTGTACCAGCTTCTGCTGCACCCAGGCAGATTGCAAGGCAGCCCCAGAGCCGTCTCCCAGCTAAGGGGCCAGGGGAAGGGGTGAGGGTGTAACTCAGAGACCAGTTTATGGGCAACTTGGAGTTGCAGAATGAATCAAAATCAGAGCTTGGTGCAGAGATCAACCCAGCAGCTAACTATGAGGGAAAGACCGGAAAATGCAAGGGCATGATATAACTATAAAGTATTAATAGCCCTAACCCAACGCCCAGGGTAAAGGGGCCCCCAGAAGCTTTATGGGAACAGGCAAGGTCTGGTTCCAACAATCAGAGTTTGGTTTTCCTTATTGTCACTCTTGATCTGTATGCGCCTTCACTCAGTTTTGAAACACAGCAATTTGAATGTAACTTTGACAGTGTCCGGCCCTATATATTATTTCTTTTTCATATTGTCCCCAGCAGAGACAGAACCTTAGGCCAAAGATGCCATTTACTAAGGGTTCTCTCTCCCCCTACCCTCCCTCTCCATGTGTTTCTGGGTATATCTCAAACTCAGAAGCTTAAAAATTCAGCTACCCAGCCTTCCTAGCCCAAAGTTAATCACAATTATTCAGGCAGTCTCAGCCCAGACTGGAAATTGCACGAGTCCATCAACAACATGAAGGGGAGCGAATGTGCACATATGATGACCTCGGACTTGCCTCACACCGGGCAAACCCACTGCCACTGGGGAGTTTTGCAGAGGCTGAACCCCAATGAATGACTTTACCTGAACGTCAGGGAAATAAGCCTTCAGGAGGTTGGAGCTGGGGTAGCGCGTGAAGAAAAACATTAGTTTGGCCTTCTTCAAGTGACCAGGGTTTAGGCCCTCCTGGATTTATCCCAGCGTCAAGGAAAACCAGCACCAGTTTATCAAATAATTTTGACAAATTATCCAAATAGTCAGTTGTCCTGTCCCTTACAGTTTATATTCTATTTTCTTTTTTTCTGAGTGAATGGTGTATTTGCTCCATTTTTCTGTTTCGAGCAAGTCTGAGCAGATAAGCTTTATCTTTCTGGATGCTGAATACCATATATGTTACAGTAAAGTTGCAAAATTTGAAAAACCTTTTGATGTGTAAAAGTTCTATGGCATCTGTACTATCAAACACAGTTCGTTGTACTTTGTGTGTGTGTGCTTTCCAAATAGGATAGGAAAAGATGGCAGTTCTGGCCCAGATAAACTATTCCTAAACTCCAAGTAGAGCTTTCCTTTCCTCTCTGCCTCAGTTTCCTCCTCTGTAAGACATGAGGAGTCAACTAGGTGGTCCCCATTCTGGTTCTCACAATTGCCTTTGCAGTGTTTAAGCCAACAAGCATCTGCCCAGACTAAGGACCAGATCACAGTCTGCTTTGGCTCAACAGCTTGAACTGCTGGGCTGCACCTGCTCCCCGCTCGCCTGGCAGAACTTTCCCTCGTCCTTCCTGCCTCCGCTCAGACGCTTTCTCTGGGAAACCTTTCCATGCCGAATGAGGCCTTCCTCACCCTGGGCTACCAAGGCACTTTTGCAAACGTCTGTTGTAGCAATGACCTTATTGGAATTTTTACTGCATGTGTGTCTCCCTATTTAGACTGTGAGCTCCGTGAGGGCGAGAACCTTATCTTTTCATCTTTGTATTCCATGTGCCTGGCCCAGTGCTAGGTACATAGTAGGTGCTCAATAAATGTACGTTGGATGAAGGAGTGAGTGAGTGATTACATGGTCCACCTTAATCCGTACACAAATAGGGAAGTTACATTCCAACCCATCCTTCACTCTGGGAACAGATTCCCTCCCCTTTTATAAGAGCAGGGAGCTGTGGGGTGACTGCCTAGCACCAGGGAGGGACTTGACTCAGCGTCCCAGGGGAATCCTGGGGCTGGGGGAGAACCAGCGTACAGAGTAACCTTGGAGTTCAGGGCTGAGAGCTGCAGCTTTAGGACAATTCAGAGTCTCAGTGGGACATAGCAGTTTAGCCAAAGGAAACCAAGCCAACTGTTTACAGTTACAGCTGGCCCTGGTGCCCAGACTGCCACCCAGAAGACCCATGCCCCTGTCTCCTTGGCCCTATTTGTCATCCTTCTTACAGGTTCATAAATGCTGTGCAAAGGATCCTGGGTTTGGGAGTCCAAAGACCCAGTTTCAGATACTGATTTTGCCACTTATTAGCTGTATGACCTTGGGCAAGCCACTGACCTTTTCTGGGCCTCATTTCTAAAATGTAGAGTGTAGTGGTTCAAGCTTGTGCTTGGCAGTCAGATCCTGGGTTTGAATCCTGCTCTGCATGTGTCTTTCTCCTGACTTTGGGCAAGTTAGTTTGCTTCCCTCTGTCTGCCACTCAGATACCTAATCTAGAACAGACGCTTGAGGATTGTGAGGTTACACAGGCCCACAACCTTGATCTGAAACGCTGGGTCAAAGGGGTTCAGATTTCAGAATTTGTTATAACAGTAATACGTTATTTGTACCATATGTTAGTTAACACCCGCAGTGGGGGCTATGGCAGCAGCCTGTAATCCAATACATTAATATTCCCACAGCAAGATGGATGACCATTTACACCAAGTGCGATAGTCTATAAATAGCCTCCAAGCAGTGCAGGTTGGATTTTGCCACCAAAAGAGTTGCCATCAACCTTAAGAAAAGAAATCATAGGGATTATCAGAGCAGTTGGAGTTTCAGAATTTTGGCGAGGTGGCGGTGGACTTGTCCGTGTGAACGGCTAGTAGCGGGGCCTGCGCAGAGAAAGTGCACAGTCACTGCTCCCCGCGTTCCCATCTCGTCGTCACACCTGCCCTGCCTGTTTCACGGGGATGTTGTGTGAATGTGAAAGTTCTTTTGCATTTCAAAGCAGCTTGCTCTTAGATGGCTTTCATGGCCCACAGAACAAATCTCTAACGCTGGAAGATAGGCAGCAGGAATGAGGGAATAGTTAGGGGGCCAGGATGCTGCCTCGGGGCCCCAAATCATTCCAAAGGTTGCCACCCGGGCAGCCAGGCCCTGAGGATGGGCCCTGAGGCTCTCTGTGCCCAGTCCTCATTTCACGGGGCAGGGCCAGGCACACAGTAGGTGCCTGAGAAATATCAGCATGCTCCTCCCAAGGGAAGCATAGCAGAGAATCTTTGGCACCTGAGTTCTTGAGGGTCTTCCACCATTGCCTGACTTTAACAGGGAGTCTCAACCAGAGGCCTTTTATCGAAGGCCCAGACAGGTAGCCTTTCTCACACAGGGAGATCATCTGATAAGAAAATGTCTATGTTGCTATCTCTGTACCTCCAAGAAGATTCCCTACTGCCTGAAGAGGCAGTTGTGGCAGGCAAGGTGTTCATAGCGATAGTTTTATAGTTGCTCACTGCCTGCGGGGAAAACACCCAGCAGCGCCCCAGCTTTGGGGGTGTTCCCAACACCTGTGACCAGCACGGGGCACTCATAGCATTTAGGGCGCAAGAGCCGGCCCTAGTGGAAAGTAAGCTGGTCCCACCTGGTCCTGCCATCCTCACTACAGCTCGCCAGGCAGAGGGCATGACTATTCACACCTGGATATGCGACTCCACAGACACCTCGACCTGTGGAAAGCAGATCCAAGGCTGCCCAGGAGAAGCAGCTGTGTGAGCTCAGCTCGCTAAAAAAGCAACATCCAAAATCTGTCAGGAACTTTAGTCCTACAAGATGCTTGTTGGAAGAGAGTTCTTTGGTGGTGTGAGTTTGGGGCTGCATACATTCTCCTCTTAGAGCTTCACATTGGATTTCAGCACGTTAAGGGCTTTGAGAAGTCCTGCAGTAAAGAAGGATTTACCCAAGCTGCTTTTTTTTCTTAATTCAACAACTATTAATATCCTGAAGGAGGGTTACTCTGAGAAACACTATTTAAGAGTGGCTCCTGCCCAAGGGTTGCAAAGGTGATGCGATAAGATCCAGACCCCTGCAGACCAGCCTGGGCCCCTCAGCCTTCCCCATGAGGGCCTCCTCTCCCTCCATGTGCTCAGCCCCCAGGCTCTAGTCCTCTCAGCTGCAGCTTAGAAGCTGTTGCTTAAACTAACGGCTTCTTAGCCCTTCTAGCTGCCTCTCAGATCTAGTCCCTGAGGAAAACTTCCCCTTTCCCATCCGCCCCGGGAGTTTCAAGTCCCTCCTGTCTTCCCCATGAATTATCGAGACGGCGCAGGCTTTCTGCCTGGAAATCCAACAGGTTGGAGGAGCTTCCGATGAGCTCACTCCTCTGACCTTCTCTGCCAAGGTGTGTGAGCAGCTGACAACCAAATTATGGGGTTCTTCCTTCTAGGGGGTGTTTATCATATTTGGGAAGCCCATTTGACTTTAAAAACAAACAAACAACACCCTTTCAGACCCAAAGGAATAAGTCAGAAATGGTAGAATCTGTGTCACAGAAGAAGGTAAATAAACCTTCCTAGCATCCTTAAATCCCACAGTGCGGTCACACTTTCTCATGGAAACTAATAAGTAGGAGCCACAGGGAAGGAAGGCCTAGAAGCAACATTAAGAAGACCATTGGGAAAGCAAAGCTATTCCTTATGCCACATAGTTATTTGTCCCCACCTCCCCTCATCCTTCAGGTTTCCTATTTCTCTGGGCTGCGACAATGAGAACTTCAGTTACTAGTAAAGGATATGTGGACGGAAGGAAAAGGAAGTGCATCTGTGACAGCCTGCAGGCCGCCCTGTTCCATCTTCACCGAGGGAAGAAGGGGCAGTCTTTCCACACGGGTGGAAGTGAAGGGCAGAGGGTACGGCTGCTGGTCCAAAACCGACGGTCGCAGTTTGACAGCACCCCAAGGTTGCAGGGCAGACTCTGAGGAGGGGTGACTTTGGGAAGATGAGTCCTGGGGAAGACAGCTGTTCCAGTGACCATTGGGTCCATGACCCAGAAGCTGGCTAAGAATCTGATTTTCCTGGATGTGGGAAGGCACAGTCAAGGGACAGTTTGCTGGGGCACCCTGATAGGGGTTAGGGATCATTCTTGGGGAGACAGGGTACCTAGGAGAATCTAGAGGCTTGGCCAGTGATACGTTTCCCAGTGGGACCCCAGCCTGTGGCTGAGCCCTCCTGGACAAGGTAGCCAGAGGAAGTGGATCTTTACAGGCACCTCCCTTAGGAGGTGAGGGCTCACTTCTACCCTCTGGCACCAGCCCTTGGAAGCTTCTGCCCAGCTGAGTCAGATGGCCTGAAGGATCCAATAGAACCTTTTGTAATACTGAGTCCACAGCCCGGGACACTGCCCCGGTCAATTCTTTCCTCAGAATCTCCAGCAAAGCCCGTGTTCCAGAAGGAATGAACCTGGGTTCCTCAGACTGGTATTCAACCTGAGATACTCTGTGTTTTTCCACCCTGGAGAAGTCCCCATTGGAACCCTGCTGGTGGTCACTGCCCTTAGCCCAGGGCCTAGAACCATAGCCATTCCTCTGCTTTACACTCAGAGGGCCCCTCCCCTTCTCAGAGCCTCCTGGGCCCTGGGCCGTGTCTCTGGGCTCAGCAGCCTGTAGGATGTGCTCCTGCAGATGTCTTAGCTGCTGCTTCAGCAGATGAAGCTGTTCTCTCACCCGAGGGCCCCCCTTCCTGCTGCCATGGTCCCTGGCAGGGCCTGGCTTCAGAGGCCCTTGCTGCGTGGGAAGGCTCTGCTTCCTCTTCCGCTCCCGGACCTTCTCTGGGCAGCGTGGGCTGTCCCTGGCTCGGATGTTGACCGGCACTAGAGGGTTAGGGGAGAGGCACATGCCTCGGACGGTGGTCTCCACTCTGGCTCTCTTTGCCTGGATGTGCTCATCCCAAAACCAATCAGGGTCAGCGAGGCTGGAGTTGGGGACCGGGCTCCAGGGAAAAGGGAAGTCTCTGCTCTGCTCTTGAGCGGATGGGCTTCTCCCACCTTCCATACAGAGTTCTGCCAGATGGGAGCAGGCCGGGGATGGAGGGGAAAGCACACCAGAGTTTGGGTCCATCCCCTGGCTCCACAGTCACTTGTTCAGAACCTGTGGGATTAGCTGGGGCTCGCTGAGGGTATCCCTCCTCCTGGTGTCCTCAGCTGGAGTGAGCTGGGTCCAGGATCAAGAGGTCTCTGGGTTGCCAGGGCTTATGAACCTCAGGGCAGGCTCTGAAATTAGAGACAGGAAGAAAACAGTACAGGTGACTTTGAACAGTGCTTTTCAAACTTGAACGTGCAAACAAATCACCTAGGGATCTTAGTAAAATGCAGATTCTGATTCAGCAGGTCCGGAGTGGGGCAGAGAGTGTGCATTTCTAACCAGCTCCAGGTGATGCTGAGCTGCTGGTCCAGACCACACTTTGAGGGGATTCCCCAGAGGGATCCTCCAGGGAGAAAATTCTCCTGCCAGGACATAACCATAAAATAATAATGATAATAAAAATAACAATGAAAGCTAACTGCATAACTGGCATTATGCCAAAAACTTTACATCCATTACCTGATTTAATTCTCATAACAACTCCGTGAGAATGTTGTCATTCCTATTTTACAGATAAGGAAATAGGCTCAGAGAAGTTAAGTTACTTCCTTAAGGTCATACAGCTAGAAAGTGGCAGGATGGAGTCAAAACAAGATTTGTCTGATTCACAGTAACTTTCTTAGTGACTTAGCAACAGAATCACCCGGGGCACTTGTTAAAAGTAGCAAATTCAGTAGACCGCCAGTCCTGCTAAATCAGAATGCCCCTGGGGTGGGGAAACTGCACCTGAAACAAGCAAATCAAAGTTTGAGAACCAGCTGTTTGACTGCTACCCCATCTTGCCCCTGGAAGAAACAGATTATGCATTCACCCATTGTTCAACATTCAACAACTATTTATTAAGCACCTACTATATACATCAGGCCTTCTGGGCAGTTGGAGAGACAGTGGTGAACAAGACGGCAGAGTCCTCCTCTCCCAGAGCTGACCGTCTGCTGGGGAAGAGAGAAGAAACAAGCATGTTTTCAGGCCGTGATACTGGCTATGAAGAAAAAGCACAGGAACGGGTTGGAAAATGGGATGCGGGTGTGGGGAGAAGGAAGGAGCAATTTTAGGAAAAGCTGCCTCAAGCTGTTTTATTCCCATGAAGGATCAAAATACACTGCGCCCTCACTAGGAGGCTTCTGAGAGCAGGTATAAGGCACCTCGAGTTTACAAAACATTCATCCATGTTACCTCATTGGACCTCACTCCAGCCTTGGGAGTCAGTGTGATTCTCCCAGTTTACAGATGAGGAAACTGAGGCTCAGTGAGGCCAAGAGTGGCTCTCAGTTGCTAAGATTCCAACTCTTCTGACACAACCACAACTCAGCTGCCTCCCTGAAGGTGAAAAGACCTGCACGAGAGATCCACTTCTCTGTTAAGCCAGATCATCCTTTCCTAGAAGAGGTCGATGAATTTTGTTTTCCTCTACCAATTTCCACGCTTCTTTGTTTTTCTTGCACACATGCTGGCAGGAGTGGGTTTGCTGTCCTCTTCCCGCTTTCATCCTGAAGCTTACTTGGAATTTTCTACCTCGGGCAAATCTCAAATCTTCTGTAGCCCGTGGGTTCTAGTCTGTAAACGTGGCCACAGCCTGCACCTGGAGCTGCCGGGTGACTAGCAGAGACCCCCAACATAAGCTCCTGGAGAGCAATGTCACTCCAAGTGGCAGGGCCCAAGGTGGGGAGCAGTGACAGCCGCAGTGCCAACATGGGGAAAATGCCGCAAAAAGAAGGCTAGGCTCTTGGGTCAAAATAATTAGACAATTCCTGCTCTGAGTCAGTAAGACATTTGTAAACTACTAAAATAAATGTGGATGACTTGCCAAATGAATATAAATTAAGGAATTTGTTATCGCCAAGTTTATACCCACAGTTTGGATGGTTTACCACCTCTTGGAGAGAGAAACATTTAACTTCCAAGATCATTTGACAAATGAATATATATTATTCGTATAATATGAAAAATTATTTTTAAATCAGATCTTATCATCTGATAAGCCTAACTGGATCCTGGAGCATACATTAGTTGCTTTCTAACTAATAACAATTACTAAACTGGCAGAATTAATATTTTAACCAAGAAGGACTGTACAACAATAATACAAACCATATATATTTTCAGTTTAGTAGCTTCCAAAAAGAAGAGAGGATTGGTTATGGTTATTCTGACTGCTTACTGAACATCTCCTGCTGAAACTCAACATTTCCAAACTAAAACTCTACCGGTGCCCCTCTGCCTATCTTGCTGTTCAAGCTGGTGCTGAGGACTCTCTTTGACATCTGCTCAACTCCTCCTCCTCAACATTGATTTGGTCACCATGTCTGGTAAATTTATGGCACAAAATGGCTCTGAACTACATTCCACCATGCCTTTCCCATTACACGTTCCTGATTCAAGGTTTCATAACTTTACCTGGGCAATTCCAACACCTCATGACTGGTCCCCCATCTTTTAGCCTCTCCTCACTCTGATCCTTCTTCTACATTCATTTATTCATTCAAAAAACATGGATTGAGTGCTGACAACAGACAAAAATCCTCTGCCCAAGTGGAGCTAATATTCATGCAAAGGGAGGCAGATGCAATAACATACTGAGTAAGTAATGAAAGGCTGTTATATAGGGCTTTGTGGGCCATTGTGAAAATGTTGGCCTTTGCTCTGAAATGCATGAGGACCTATTGGAAGGTTATAAGCAATATGAGCTGACTTAGTTTTAAAAGGATCATTCTTTAGGAGTGGAGAATAGACTGAAGGAGAGGAGCAGGGGTTTAAAGAGACTCCTTAGGAAGTTCCTGCAATAATCTGGATGATAACAATCTAGGTGAGATGTCTTGGATCAGAGTCACAGCAATGGAAGCAGAAAGTTGTGTCAGATCCTGGATATATGTTGATGTTGGAGCCAATGGGACTTGCTAACAGATTGGATGTGAGGTGCAAGAGAAAAGAAAGTATTGCTGATGATGACTCCAGAGTGTTTGGCCTGAGTGACTGGAAGGATAGAATTGCATGGCTGAGGTGGGAGGACTGCAGAAGGAGCAGATTTGGGGAGGAAGATCGGGAGCTCAGTTTTGGACATGTTAAGTTTGAGGTAATTATTAGGCCTCTAAATGGAGATGTTGAGAAAGCAGTTGGATAAATAAGCCTGGGGTTCAGTGGGGAGATCTGGGCTAGAAATACGAAATTGGGGATTGTCAGTATGCAGATGGATGAGCTCACCAAGGAGTGAACATAGATAGAGAGGAGAAGGGGGCCAAAGTCCAAATCCTGGGACATAACAACGTGAAGAGGCTGGGGTAGGAGGGGAATCAATCAAGGAAACAGAAGAAGCATCAATGAGTAGGAAGAAATCTAGGTGTGTGAGGTCCAGGGTACCAAGTGAAGAAAGTGTTTCTAGGAAAGGGGAGATGTCGAGTCATTTAAGGATTGTGAATTGACCATTCGAGTTAGTAATGTAGAGTCATTCGGGACCTTGATCAGAGCAGTTTTGGTGGAGCAGAGGGAGAAAAAGCCTGATGGGAGTGGATGTAAGGGAAAGGACAAGACGAGGAATTGGTGACATTGACTACGACAACTCTTTCAAAGGGTTTTGTAAAGAAAGAAATGGTTCAGCGGCTGGAAGGAGAAGTGGGGTCAAGAGAGGATTTCTTAAGAGAGGAAGAATAACAGCATATTTATAGGCTGATGTCAACGATGCCATAGAAAGATAAAATTCGTTAATGTAGGCAAGAGATGGAGAATTTCTGGAGCCAGTCCTTGAGGAGGAAGGAGGAAATGAACTGTTGTGCACATGTGGAGGGACTGACTTAGAGGGGACACCCCTCCGTTCATTCACGGTAGCCGGCGGAAGGCAGTGTGTGTGGTCAGGTGCCGGCAGATAGGGAAACGTGGTGACGGGAATTGGTGGAAGTTCCCTTTTAATTGTTTCAGTTTCTTCAGTGACATTTTGTGGCTAGTATTAATTTTCTAAAATGTGGGTCTGCTTATGGTCCTCCATGGAATCAAAGTCTTTGCTAGCTTCCTGTTGAATATAAGGTTCAGATGTCTCAGCTCCTTATAAACATGGTCTTAATCTAAACGCTCCGGAGCCACTGTCCTCAATACTTACCTAGTGTAGGTATTGCAGTTGAGCTGTCCTGGGCTCTGTGTTCCCCGAGCATGCCAAACTCCTTCCTGCCTCCACGTCTTCGCACTTACTGTTCCCTCTGCCTGGAAGGCCCTTCTCCCACTTCTCCACCTGACAAACCCCTACTCCTCTTTCAAAATCCAACTGAAATGTCACCTTCTCTCTGAAGTGATCGATGTCTCCTCGCCTGTAGATTGTGAGCTCCCTCTATGTGTCCCCAAGTAGTGCCTGACTGCCAAGTGTCACCAAATCCATGTTTGTGACTCACTTGAATACATTATTCTCGATGCACTTCATTTAGACTGATTTTTGTCTCCTTATTAGAGATACTTTATGCTAGATCCCTCTCGCAACTTCATGGAACAAAATCAATAAAGACACAGACAGAGAGGCAGATAGGTAGGTAGATAGAGAGGGCATAGAACCACCAAGTTTGCCAAGTCTCCCTCATGGGTTATTTAAGGTATTGTTTCTGAGGTTCCAGGTAGTTGGTGTGTTCTAGAAGGCAGAACTACCAGGGTAAGAGACAGGGCTCGGTGTGTTGAATGAAGCAACAATCAGAATGTCTTGAGGCCAGAAAATGGAAATGCAGCCAGAGGGCGCTGTGGTTGGGTGCCCAGAGACATTTACGCCCCGCTCTGTAGGACAGTGGTGGAGGCTATGCATCTGGGCCGCAGAGAAACAGGAAACCTCTGTACTGCCAGGGGCCAGAGTGCCGCCCAGAGCCCTTTATCTGGGTGTGGCGTGAAGCAGCTCCGCTTTCTGTTTGAAAAATAACCAGCAGCACTCTCACATTCACTGACAAAAGCAGCAATTGTCACAACCCTTTAAAAATAGCTTGACTGCTTTTCTCAGTAAAAGTAAAATTGTAAGAGTAATACAGGATCGTTTTACTTCCTGAATAGGGAAATGTACTAAGAGGAAAAAAAGACACCTATCATGGTGCCTCCCACAAAAAAATGACAGTGAACATTTTGGTGTTGGTCCTTTTTTCCAAACTTTTTTCCTTGGGTACAGATAAATTTACATAATTCCTCATAATTACATAAATAAAAAAACAGAAATGGAGTTATAAATACATAGTTGCATTGCTTCCTTTTTTTCTCTTTCATGTCAATGAATATCAATCTACAGCAACATTGTGAAAGCTGATGATATTGTGTGGATGTACCATAATTTATTTATTACATTCCCTTCTGAAAGACAGTTCAATGTATTCCTATGTTTTCCCCATTATAGCAGTCGAGGCAATAGAGTGTGGAGGTTGAGAGCAAGGACCTCGGAGTCAGGCTGCCTAGCTTTGGATCCCTAGAGCCACTTACGAGCTTTGTGACCTCTCTGGACCTCAGCTTTCTCGTCAATAAAATGGGAATAACCATAATACCTACTGTTATCACACGGCGGTTGTCAGAATCCAGTGAGTGAACATGTTATGTTTTTTAGACCAGTTTCTGGCACATAGCAAAATGCTGATAAGGGTCAGCTGTTGTTATTATGAATAATATTGGGATGAACCATCCTTCTATATTCCTGGAAACTTACCCTATGATTTCCTTAGGATATATTTCTAGAAGTGAAAATTCTGGGTCAAAGAATAGACATATGTTAAACTTTTATACTTGTTGCCAGACTGCCCTCCAGAAATGTGCCAACCAACTGAGAGTGGAGATGAGTGACTGGAAGAGAACTTTTAATTTTCACTCTGTATATTTCTGTATTAAGAGAATTTTTACAAGGATGCATTCATGTGTTATTTGTATATATAATTTTAAATAGCCAAGAAATCCACTTGCTTTCTTACCAACATAGCTATCAAAGAACACGTGTCCCCTCATCCTCATCAACGCTGGGCAATGTCAGTCTTTTAATCTTTGGCAATACAAATGGGTGAAAATGTTATCTCATTATTTGTATTTCTTTGATTCTCAGCGATCTTGCTCATTTTCCATATATTTTGGGGGAAATATTTATGTGGTATATACTACAAAATGTAAACATGTTTATACCATTTGAGTCAATGATTCTATGTCTAAGAAGTAAAACCAAGAAAATGACACTATACCCACACATTTATGTTAAAAATGATCATCTTAGTATTATTTTTAAGAGTAGAGACTGGTTAAATAAAGTATAAAGTATGATATCTTCTATGTGATGCTAAATTATGCAGCCATTTTTTAAAAAATCATGTTTAAGAAGAGTTTATAGAACATTATTTTATAATAAGCGGGCAGAGTGAAAATTACTTATTAAAAATGCAAAGAAAAAAGATGAGAAAGAAATACATTAAAATGTCAGCAATAGTTGTTTACAGGTGATGGAATCATGGGTAATTTTTGTCTCTACTTCTTTTTACTTTTCTGTATTTTCTATATTTTCAGTGGGTGTGTTTTTACTTGTGTAAATAAAAAAAAGGCAACGCTTGCCTTTGATAATTAAAAACTTGCATATATGCAGAGACTATGCACATGTGGAGGCATTGGATATATGGGAAATCTCTGTACCTTCTGCTCAATTTTGCTGTGAACTAAAACTGTTCTAAAAATTAAAGTCCATTAAAAACCAAAACAAAAAAACAAAGCTCGCATTTTCTCTCATTGACTCTTTCCCAGATATATGTTCCTGGGCACCAGACATAAAAAGCCCCATCAGAGAAGCAAATTTACCTACAAACATGAGTAGAAAACACAGGACTCATGAGACAACTGCAAAGTTATGTAGGATTTTAGAGCTAGAAAGTATAAACTGAGGGTGAGGTTGAATTTCAAAGTAAATAATCGACATAAGAAAGAAGCTGTGTGTCACCTCTTTTCAGCTGAAGTGTTAGAGGCGGTGGGCACAAGCTGAAAAGACAGCCAGTGTCTGTGGTGTTAGCAAGTGCACAGATCACCTCTAACACAGGAGCCCTGCTGCCTGCGAGTCTGTGTGTCCAAGAGGGCAAAGGGGAAAGGCTGCCCCCAGACCACCTGAGGTGGCTCATAGGCTGTGTGTCCTATTCTGTGGGGTGTCCACATCAGGGAACAGCAAACACTTCTGACACTCTCTGGCAGGGCCGCCGGTGGGCTATGGGGAGTCCTTAGATAAAAGGCACCACGTGAAGCCCAAGAGATGCCAACTCATTCTCATCACTGTCAGTGACACCCAGTCCAGATGTATACAAGAAGGTCTATTGTTATTTCCTTGATAAAGTTCCTGCCAGGTTTTTGTTGGGAAAATTTAGTGTGTCTCTTTGCAGGATTTTGTTCATTCATTTCCCAGAGTCAGTTGGATTTCAATTGGACCAGCCTTGTGCCTAGCAGATAACCACCCACAAATGGTTGGAGAAATGTGGAGGAAAATACTTTATCCTGACACAGCCACTCCTGTGTGGATGTCATGGGATCTAACAGTCCACCACTGGCAATTCATAATAGTGACCACTTAATCACACATTTATATATGAATACGTTTTTGTCTGACCCACAGTATTCCTGAACAGTCTCCCATCCGAGTACTTAGCAGGCTCAGCAAACTTTTGCTGTCAGTGTAAGACTTGTTCAAGGTGGCACATCTCAAGGTCACATAGCAGTTTTACACTTTGCTAAGGCATTTTCATATACAACCTCATCTCTGTTTCGTTCTCTTAGGTGAGGCAACTGGGGGGCCCCCTGCATCATCCCCATGTGGCTGTGGGCCACAGGAAGCCCCTTCCATCTCTGGTCCAGCCCTGAGCATCTCTCCCTGCCCCACTGGCTGACGGTGGAAATGAGGAGAGGTGGTCAGATTGACAGTCCGGGCCACATGATCCTGTCCATCAACAGACATAGATACAACCAAGTCAGAAGCCCTGGTGGTCTGCATCACTGGTGCCTATGAACTACAGAGTGACCTACCGGGTGTCGGACCTGGGTCAGATGTGCTAGCTGTGATGTGATCTTACGCTAGTTAACTTTGCCTCTTTCCCCGCTCAGTTTGTTTGTAAAATGGGGTTGATAACAGTGCCATCTTCTAGGGTTGTGGAGAGGATCTCAGGTGATAACATGCCCAGGGCCTGCACTCTCCAGCACTGATAACAGGCACTCCTTCAATTGCAGTTTCCTTCCCCCAGGGATGGGTCTGGGAGCCCTACAGCCCTGGAACTTTAGCTCTGGAAGGGACTTAGAGACCACCTGGTACAGGGGGTGGTTTCCAGACTTTTAGATTTCAATCGTTAATAAAAAAAAAAAAAAAAAACTAGATCAGGGGCCGCCTCGGTGGCCTAGTGGTTAAATTAGCACACTCCACTTTGGTGGCCCGGGGTTCGCAGGTTTGGATTCCTGGTGCGGACCTAGCACCACTTGTCAAGCCATGCTGTGGCAGCATCCTACATAAAGTAGAGGAAGATTGGCAGAGATGTTAGCTCAGTGACAATCTTCCTCAAGCAAAAAAGAGAAGGATTGGCAACAGATGTTAGCTCAGGGCCAATCTTCCTTAAAAAAACCACAAAAAACAAACAACTGGAACAGCTTGAGAGTTGCTGACATTTTATTTGCAGGTAAGCGAACAAAAAGTAAGTATACAAAAGACTACAATCTACTGTCATTTTTATTTCATAAAAGAAGAAAATCTTAACCACCCTGTTTTAAAAAAAGGGTTGGGGGAATAATATACAAATAAACTTAGCTGTGTAAAAATCTCTTTATGTTGTCTTTTCTGAAAACCAATGAGAACACCAAGACCAAAATTAGGGTACCCTGGATCTTCATGCCATGTCCTTGCTTTACGGATGAGGCAACTGAAGCCCATAGAGGTGAAGTGACATGCCCAAGGTCACACAGTGGCTGTGATGTCTCATTGCTATCTAGGAAAAACCCCTGGACATGAGAGGGTGGCCAAGACAGGTGTCCTGGGCTGGAAGATAGGAGATCTGGGCTCTATTCCTAGCCACTTGCTCCTGAGCCATACTTTCTGCCTTTTCCACTTTTCTAAAATCTTGCCCCCTCACTCAACACTGGTGTGAGAACCTAACGAAAGCAGAGTTTCAAAAGTGCTCCAGAGATGCATACCAGAGCATTAGGGAGTGAGGTGTTAGGAGTGAAAAGTCCTGTTGTCTGATTTACTTGAATGTATTTCAGCCAACAAAAATAGATGAAGCAAATATGGCAACATATTAACAATGGTTAAATCTAGGTGATAGATACATAGAGGGGTATTGTTATGCCAGTGTCTCCACTTTTCTGCATACTTGAAAATTTTCATAATAAACATTCATCATTAAAAAAAGTGCCCTGGCAAGGTAAATGGAAGGAATGGTGTTACTCACGGAGAAGGTGCCCTCAGGGAGGTCCAAGTCCCGGGCTCTGCAGCCAGGTGGGGCCCGCCACCCCAGAAGATGGAGCAGCCCACTCTTCATCAGCCTTGGGCACACAGAGCCATGGTCAGGAAGTGATTTTGGTTTTCCTGCTTCCTCCGCAGGCAGGCCTGGTGCCTGTGGCTGGCCTCCCACCCATTCTCAGTGCAAGGCACCATCTGACAGACCCAGCCCTGCTGCAGCCGCTGGCACTGAGGACACTGGGGGCTGCCCAGCACAGCCAACCAGTGTGGGGGCCTTATGAATATTCATATAGAGGCCAGAGCTGGTTGGCTGCCCCCCTGCCATCTCCCACCCCCACCCCAACTCAGATGCCAGAAAAGCCAGCTCAGAGAGGACCTTCCTGAGATGATGTATCTTCTGTCCTTGCCTAAGGACCCACAGAGCCCCTTGAAAATTTGGAGACTGAATTACCCAGCTTCTCCCATTACACTGGGGATCCAGTGGGGAGCGCCTGACCTCTGCTTCCAAATTCCCCAGCGAGGCAGCTCCAAAGCGAACATCTTTGTCCCTGTCCTTCAAGCATCCTGAGGATACTGAAACCAGCCCAGCACCAAAACAGGGCATCTCAGTTCTGCAGGAAGGAGCAGCTGTGTGGCCTCTTCCTCCAGCAGAGGTCCAAACACTATTGGGGAGGCTGTTTGCTGGGCCCAAAGCCCCCATGTCTGGCAGAACTGCGAGAACTCACTGGCCAAATCACCTACCTCTGAACATCAGCCGAATTGTATCATCTCATCCTCCTTCAGTTTGGGAAATGGAGTGAATACTACAAAATACAGCAATGAAAATCAATGAGCTACAGTTCAACTCAACATGGATAAATCCTCAAAACACAATGTTGAGTGAAAGAAGTAAGTCGCAGAATAATACAGGCACTGTCATTCCATTTATGTTACTTTTATGTTACTAGATGATGGATATATAGATGGGTATTGTTCTGCCAGTGTCTCCACTTTTCTGCATACTTGAAAATTTTCATAATAAACATTCATCATAAACATTTCATAATAAACACTCATTTAAACATTACGTTTAAAAATAGGCCAAACAATGCCTAGATTTTCACCAGCATTCATCTATCCATTATTATTTTTATTTTTATTTTTTGAGGAAGGTCAGCCCTGAGCTGACATCTGCTGCCAATCCTCCTGTTTTTGCTGTGGAAGACTGGCCCTGAGCTAACATCCATGCCCATCTTCCTCTACTTTATATGTGGGATGCTTGCCACAAGATGGCCTGACAAGTAGTGCCATGTCCGCACCCAGGATCCGAACCAGTGAACCCTGGGCCACCAAAGGGGAACATGTGAACTTAACTGCTATGCCACTGGGCCAGCCCCATCTATCCATTATTTTTAATTACAACTGAATGGAGAGACAGGCAGAGAGATGGAATCTAAGTATCATGAGCAATACAAAGTGAATAGGGGGTATAGTCTCTGTCTTAAGGAGCCCAGAGATGGAAGAATACTCTGTAGCCCCATCTACCATCTGGTCAATACTCTTCAAAAATATGTAAGAGAAGATGTGAGTGTATAGTTCAGACCACACATACAAATATGGGGGGATTTCAGTTAAGGGAAAAGAATGCTGTGTGTATTATTTAAGGTGAGCTGCCCACTCTGTGGTACTTTTCATTAACTGAGCCATTTATCCTTCCTAGAAACAAAATTTTTCTTACATAATTTGCAAGTAAATACATCTTTTCCTCAATTTAAAAAATAGGCAAAAATGTGTATAGTTTAGGATACATATCTCTTGACGCTACAATGAAAACAAGGGGATGGTTACTATTTAATTTAGTATAGCAATGGCTAACTCTGGGAGGACCTGTAAGGAGGGCCACATAAGGCTTTTCCATTCCTTAAGCTGGGTGGCGAGTGTAGGTATTCCTTTTATCATTTCCTTTAAATCATATACACATATTTATACACCCTTTTGAATATCTATGTTACAAGGAAAGTGGTTTTTTAAAAATTCTCTTTTGAACCCTGCCATAACCACAAGTTGATGAACTTGTATTCATGAACTGCTGTCTCAATAGATGATACTGTGATCCGGGAGGCTCTAAATACAGAAGAGGGCGTGAGCTTATTAGGTTGCACCTTAGATTCCGTGGAAACTCATATGTGAATCTCAAAGAAATCAGTTTCCACTTTTATCCTCTGAGAGGGACTCTGCATGCTACTGTGCACGTGTGGGTGGGTGCGTGTGGTGTCTAAGACTGTAACACCTAAGATTAACTTTAGTGATCACTGAAACTCCAGGAGAAACGCTTTGCCACATCATCCAGCCTGAGCTTCTTAGATAAGAATCTTAAAAACTAATTATTTAAAACTGAAAATACTAAGTAACTATCTCAGAAACATTAACAGCAACCCCTGCGAGGGATTGCCATGGTTCCTGATTACTCTTCTTGGACTCTAGCTACATCCAGCAGTGTTGTAAGCTTGGCATTATTTGGTCATTCCACTTGCATTTATTGAGTACCTACAGAGTACCAGGCACTGTGTTCTGTGCAGGGGATTCAGGAAAACAAAGTCATCTCTTTCCTCCTGCTGCTCTGCCCAGTAGTGGAGACAGACAGGTAAACAGGACATTACAATGTGATGTAGAGATACAGACACACTGTTTTGGAAGCACAGAAAAGGTATCTGTTAGTTCTGCCAGAAGCAATTAGGTAGGCATTCAAAAGAGACCAGTCTCTAGGCAAAGAGGACTTGCGAACAGCCCACGCAAAGATTTGAAGGAGTGAAATAGCATACCTCGGGACTATGGCCAGTAGTGTGGTAGGACTAGGGCTGAGCACCTGTGAGAAAGAGGACGCAAGGATCACAATATAGCCAGAGGCCAGGTTACCAGGTGCACCTGGTGCAGTTGAGGCATTTGGGCTGCAGCCTACCAACAGGGAGAAGCAATTGAAAGACTTTAAGCAGGGGAGTGACAGGATTAGATTTGCATTTCAAAGGGATCTTTGACAGGTGTGGAGCATGGGTTAGAGACAGTATGAGTGGAGGCCCGGTCTGTTTAGGAAGTAATGCAGGTGGAGAACGCTGAAGACTTGATCAGGGGCAGCAGCAAGGCAAGGATATTTTATTTCTAGTTAGGGCTTCTGCCCATCCCCTCAGAATTCTAGTGGAAGTGCTTTCAGAGTTTGGATGAGTGGCGGTACCATAAAGGTCCTGAGGACCAGGCAAGATGACTTAGTTAAAGAAACCAACATGAGCAGGCACCAAGTGGCTCAATCATTCATTCTTAATTCAGCCAGAGGCTTATAGAAAACCTTTTCGAGAAGTGAGCTATAAAGGTGACTACTTAGGGGCCTGGCGACTTTAGGGAAAGGGAAACTGAAGGGACGTGGGAGGTCATGTGCTTCCACTTTGAAACGGGCAGAATAGGATGCCCAAAGCTGGGAGGCGCAAATTCAGCCTGCAAGTATTTATTGCACACCTGACCTATGCCAATCTCTGTTCTAAGTGCTGGGGATACAGTGGTGAACAAAACAGACAAGGTCCCTAATCTCATAGAGTTTATATTCCAGGGTAAAGCGACAAATGAACAGCCTTCAAAATGCACAGAACGTATGGGAAACAAGTAGCTTGGCTGGACAGAGTTTGAGCAGGAACTAGGGACGCTCAAGAGATGTCGTAGCAGAAGTAAGGCTTCTTGGTGAAGATCTTCGGCTTGGTAAAAGGGCAGTGGGAGCCCTTTAGAGGTTCCTTGGGGCTCTGTTTCTTTGTTCCGGGGTCCGGGAGGCAGGGAAATGACCATTGCTTTTTTTATATTTGAGGCACCTGAGGCTCTGGGAGGCAGTGTCACCTGCCCAAGGCCACACAGTGTAAGATCAGGAAGGCATGCCCGGCCAGGTTTGACTTTACAGCCCGTGCCTGCCCTCCCGCTGTTTTCCCGTAGCCCGGAGGAGGGATGGCGCGGCGCCCTGGGTCCCAGCGGCGAAGGGCGCCAAGCGTAGAGCCAGCTCCGCGGAAAGGCCGGGAAGGGCCGGACCGGGGGGTCGCCGGAAGGTCGCAGGCACCTTCGGGAGAGCCGGCGCGGCCAGCAGGCAGCACAGCAAGCCCCACGAGCGCCCCGCAGCTGCCGGGCAGGCGCGCGGACGGCTCGGCGGGCTCGCCGGCTCCCCCCACGGCCCGCCAGTGGTTCGTTCCGAACACCCCCTCCCCGCGCGGCCGGGTTCCCGGCCAGCCCCACTTCCGGTTGCTGCCGAGCCCTATATCCGGTGTCCGCCCGCCCTCGGCCCCGCTGCTGCCGCGATGCTGTCCCGGTCCCGCTGCGTGTCCCGGGCGTTCAGCCGCTCGCTCTCCGCCTTCCAGAAGGTACGGGCCGGTCGGGCCAGTCGGGCCGGGCCCTGGCGGGTGAGAGCCCCGCAGGCGGGCCGGGGGGCGGCCTGGGGCAGGGGCGCGCCGGCCAGGCCGGGCACCAAGGGCACCGGGACGCGGAGGCCGCGGGCGGGCGGCTGGGGGCCGGCGTTGCCCTCGGGGCGGTCTTGCGGAGCCCCGCGGCCCCTCGCCTTCCCGAGGCCCCCGGCGCCCGGTCCCCTGCTGCACCTCGCCCTCCGCGCCGGGGCCGAGGAGCCGCCCAGAGCCGCGCCCGCCCCGGCACGAGACTCAGAGTTCTGGAGGAGGCGCCACGGAGTTCCCCCCAGGACCGGGCCGGCCCCTCTCCTGTTAAAGGTGGCGGGAGTCAGTCCAGTGGGAGAGCCTGGAGGCCCCGTGTGCCGACTGGGACTGAGAGCCCTGGCTGTTGCGTTTCCCTTCTGGAGTCGGGAGATTCACCTGTCACCGGCACCTGGACAGCTTTGAGTCTGTGCTTAGAAAGCTGTTTCTTCTTTCCTTTCATCCTGGGTGACGTCGATAATGTCTTCTTTCTCAACAGGGGAACTGCCCTCTAGGGAGACGTTCCCTGCCTGGTAAGTTCTGCCCTTGCCGTCGCCTAAAATGCTCTCCTCGAGGGCAGAGCAGTTTTGTGAGGAGATCGGGGTGCCTGTGTTTCTCGGCATCGTTTTCAGATAGATAGGCGTGAAACGAAATGCTATTTAGCAGTAACAGCTGCCATTTACTCTTTTAGCGCACAGTTACTGAGTTTCTGCTGCGTGTCAGGCACTGTGCTAGGCACTCACTCGGGACACAGCAGTGAACAGCTCTTACCCTCCTGGAGCATACAGTCCCGTGGGAAAGACAAAGTGTAAATCGCTAAACAAATGAACAATGATGAATTTTGGCTGGACGATGATGAACTTTGGCTAAGTGCTGAGAAGGAAACAAATGAAGGTGAACAGAAGCAGCCTTTTGAGTACGTGACGTTAAAGCTGTGACCTGGAGGCTGTGACAGAGGCTAGCCCGCTGAAGAGAGGGAGAAGGAAGGGAATAGCATGTACAAAGTCCTTTTAGAAGGAAAGAGCTTGGCAGTGTTTCAGAACTGGGAAAAAAGGTGATTTGGCCAGGGCATTTTAATTAAGGGAGAGTGTTTTAATTAAATGAGATAGAAGATGGTGTAGAGACTATTGGAAGGAATTTAGATTGTATCTCAATTTTTTATATGCTTGGAATAAATATTTGTTGAATGAGTCGATCTTATTGTGAGTTTTCTACGTGCCAAGCATTGTTCTGAGAGCTTTCTGTGCAATTTTCAGTTAATCATCAAGAAACAGTAGGAGAGCTGTTCCATTTTACAAGTGCATAACCCAGGCTAAGAGAGGTCAAGTGCCTTGACCAGGGTCACTCAGCCAACTGTTGGTCTAGCCAGGTCTCCCTGTCTTCTTAACCTAAACTCCTAACCCATCATGTTATCATTTACTCATGTACCCAACAGATCATTTATTGAGTTCTTGCTGCGTGCCAGGCTCTGTGCTAGGGGACGGCGATACAGATGGTCTCTCCCTCAAGGATCTTAGGTGCTACCTGGGGAGATAGCAAATATACATTTATGCATACATAAGGATATAATTACATTGTGATGACTATGAAAGAGAAATGTAGGGTGTAATGAGAGGGTAGGATGATGTAGCCCAGCTTGGGAGGGTGGAGAGAACGGTGGGAATGTCACTAAAGGCTTCCCCAAAGAAGTGACATTTAAGCCAAGTCTTGAATACATAGGAGTTGGCCTAGAGAACTATATTCCAGGCAAGGGGAATTACTTGCACAAAGGTTTTCAGGCAGGAAGGGACTTGACCGGTCATAGACGTGGAAAGGCAGCCTGTCTGGCTGGAAAGATAGAGAGGGCTGACAGTACAGGAAAGTGCAGAGGTTTTGGATTTTATCCTAAGAGTCATGAAAACATAGGCACCTAGCAGAATGTTAGCTCACAGAGGACTCTCAATAATAGATGTTCTTTTTAACTGGGAATCCTAAAAAATGTCAGGAAACATTTTTCTACTTCATAGACTGGCGGGACGATGGAAAGAGCTTTGTACTTGAAGTTTGCATCGTGGCTCAGGGCTGCACCTTGGGCTGGTCACTTAAGTTCCGGAAGCCCTGCTTATATATGAAATGGGGAATGATGGCAGCTGGTCGTTCCGCTTCAGGGAGTTGTGAGACACGCAAATCAAAATGAGGTCATTATGTGAAAGCTTTTTATAAATTCTAAAGCACTGTACAAATGAAACTTGCTGTAGGATAATTCTAAGCTGGACTCGGAGTTCCAAAAATCACTGTTGTCTGCTGGCCATTCTAGCTCAAAGACATGCCATACTTGGGATTTGTACTGCAGAGTCATTGGCTGCTGGACAAAGAGGTGGCTTACTTGGCTCTGACACTCTGGGGATGTTTGCGAGGAGGTGGGCATGAGAGAGTTGTCTCCCATTTGGTGTCTCCTGAGCCCATGGTTGAGAAAGAGTTGTTAATAAATCTGAAAAAAATAAGACGTATGAAAGAATATGGATATGTTCAGGTGAGGCAGCTGTAATAATTAGTTGTCAGTTGGGGAAGTGCAGTTATCTGTGATAAGGATAGTTGGTGGGGCAGAAACGGCGCTCCCACCTTGTTGAGTGTGACCAGAGTGGAAGACCTTAGGAAGAGGGTGGGAATACTAAACTGAAAAGAGGGATAATGATTTGCTCAGTCCTACAGCAAGCTGGGGACCCTGGGCCTAAAGTAGCCCAGTCTTTGCTAATAGAGTTCAGGCAATACGACTTCCAGCTCAGTGCATTTTAAATAACTAGGGAAGCAGAAACCTAGACCAAATACTCCCCCTGCTTCTCAGATTAGGTTGTGTGTAGTCACAGGATAAGCCATCCTATGCCTTTCTCCAGCTTCAATTTTATTATGAAAACATATAGGAATAATGAAAGTTTATGTATTTTAAGGTAAATAAGATTATAAAACTACTTCTGGCTTTGCCCTTAGAATTCTCCCTTTTCCTCAGACACATATCCAGTCTCAACCCCATGTATCCATTGATCTCTGCCATTATGGTTACTTTGGTGGAAAAGTTTGAGAAGCAGGACTCTGTGTGATAAAGATTGTATTGTTGCCTGCAGTTGTTCCTGCTCTGTCTCAGAGTTAGGGGGTGAATAGACTTCTTTTCCATCTCTGCAAGTATCCTGTATAAGATAAGAGTTGTTGGTTAAGAGTTGTTTTGTTTCTTGCAGGGGTCTCCTTATGTCAGGGACCAGGTTACCCTGACAGCAGGAAGATTGTGTAAGTATCACTGGGGAGCACAGATATATGGCCATGGGGTATTTAAGATACCAGTTCTCAATTTGACCATCTGATTTCTTCTCCAGCTTCCAGGCCTTGAAATTGAGGTGGTTATACTGAGTCCCTAGACCTCACCTTGATGTTAATTTACTACATGTTATGGACCTTGGGCCTCAGCCCCATGTCAAGTGCTGGACCAGGAGTGTGCCTGTCCTCAGGTGTTTAGATTATAGTGAAGGTGAAGTTGGAAACCTGTTTTTATGGGAATAGATACAGAAAGGTGCTTCTAAATATTCTGGTTGGATACAAGTGCAGCTGAAGGGCTGGAGGTTACATTAATTTTGGTATTAAGATTGAGAGCATCCTCTTGGTAGCATATTCTAACTGGTAAAAGCAAAAGACTAGTGGGTTTGAGTCCTGGGACTTTGACTAGTTTGGAGGGAATGCTATTGCATAATGCAGTGTTTGGAGGAAGGCCACACGTGTGTTTCAGATTAACTTCTGCTTATGAATGTTGCTTACTGCTACTTTGTATTACAAGTATTTTCAGGGTGGTGGTAAGAGGATGCTCTCTAGTTACCTGTTAAGCAGCTATCAAGCTACTTTGTAGGGAGAATCTTCAAAATGAAGGGTCAGCAGATTAGCTCCTTCACTATGCATCACAGTGGGATTTTTTCTCATTGAGAAAATGATGCACACTGTATTAGAACTATGAGTTCTTGTGTTATTTTTGGAGGGCAATTTGGCATTCATAAATCTTTGAACTTTGTGTACCTTTTGATCTAGCAATTCCATTTCTAGGAATCTAGACTGAAGAATTCCTGGTATATCCAGATTTCTCTCAAAATTTGCAGACAACAGGGGATTGGTTAAACTATGCCATGTTAACGTGTTTTCACTATGATAAGTGGGAAGATTTAGCAGGTTATAAAATGATTTCATTTTCTGCTGTACAGTATAATCCCATTATAAAAGTTCTTTTTGCTGTTTCCAAATATTCTACAGTGAACATCTAATACTTTTGTAACTTAAAAAATTATTTAGATTCAAAATGTGCTACTCATCTACAATGTAAATGAAAATTGGAAACCACAAATCTCTGTGCAATAAATACAACAATTTACTGTTGGAAAGTAAATTGTTAAGGGAAAAAAAACCCTGAACTTTGAAGGGTGAGGTCACACATTAGAGTAGGGTATCACCCTAATCTAATATCTGTTTTGTGTTATGTATTGTCTTTTTTCTGTGAATAAGGTACCCACTTTATTTTAAAAATCTGTTCTTGTAAAACTATTTTTGGTTTTACATTTTTATTTAATAGGTTATACATTTACATGGTTCAAAAGTAAAAAGAGTGTCCTTGTCCTCCAGTGCCACCAGGTTCTTCCCAGAGGCGGCCAGTGCTCCAGGTTCTTGAGTATCTTCGCAGAGCACTCTCTATATTTGCACATTACCCATTAGTTCTTGCCCATGAGCTTGTACTATATATGGTTATAAACTTTATGCAGAAAATGTTGTTCCGTATTTTTTCTGTAACATACATTTTTTCCCCTAGATTCAACATAGATATTATGATCATTTTGATGTTATAAAGGTTAAAATATCAAAAGGCAACTTAAATCTATTGTGCTTTTCTGTTATAATGGTGCTTGTTGTAGAATAGTCAGTTCTGAAGTGTAGAAGTGAAAGTCTCCATCCGTCCCAGTCCTTCTCCCAAAATGTGTATATATAATGGATAACCTTAGGTACCGTAGATAGCTGTGTCCCATTGTGCAGGGGAAACCACTCCTAATGGCTTTGAGCATAGGAGGTGATATCATTCTCCAGTTTCCATTATTTGAAGTTAGTGCCGTGTCAAAATTACCTTAGTCTTTTGAGGTTCCTCCTGAATGAGTCCAGAATGGACTGATGTGCTGCCTTTTACTAAGAGAACAGACTAGGAGATAACCATGAGTTTTTTGGTGTGTTTTTGTGAGTTTTTTGCGTATAACCCTTGTTTTACTTCCAAGTTAACTGTCTCATCTTGCTGCCTCGTCTGATCAAAATCTGTAATCCTAGGTACAGAAATTCCATTGTATCTGGCACAATGGCGTGTACCCCAAGGGGACGCAATTTCTCTTACTTGGATTTAGTTAATTGAAAAACCTAATCAGGAAGCTAAGTCCTTTTGGTGGGTGTGGAAAAGGACCAAAATGTTTATCTTTTTCTTCAAAGAACCAAATGTAAGTCTTTCTTTTGTGAGAGCTGGCATTTCACTGCAGTGCAGGGTCTTGGACTCACCCATGGAGCTCACTACTTAAGGCACCTGAGTCATCCAGGCTCTACTCTAGACCTGCCGAGTCAGAATCGCTGGGGATGGGACCTGGGCATGTATGCTTGGAAAAAGTTCCCTGAGGTGACACTGATGGGCACCCCTGGTCAAGAACCACTGATTGAAAGGGAAGATGATCTCTGGTGCCTTATCTAGACTAACGTGAGTGGTTCACCTGCTAAAGGAGTTTATGTTTGTTTCTTTTGCAGCATTAACAGCAGTGGCGTTTTCAGCGTTCGCTTCTTCAGAACTACAGCTGTGTGCAGTAAGTACCTGCCTTCTTGAGAATGGACTTTCAGTGGGAAGAACAATAGTTGACTGAGTTTAACTAAAGAAAAACAAACATTTTAAAGGAAAAATATGGACAACTTGTGATTTTCTTTTTCGCTCTTTTCCTAGAGGATGATGTGGTTACAGTCAAAACCCCAGCGTTCGCAGAATCTGTCACAGAGGGGGACGTCAGGTGGGAGAAAGGTAAGATTTAGTGCCCTCTCACTTCTTAAGTTTAAACGCTTTCTACAAGTCCCCTCTCCGGCCATGATAATCAGTGGAACCTATGGCTCCACCCTTTTCTTTACATGCAGTGTACTTTCTGCCGGCCCTATAGGAAAGAGGTTTTGTAACACACCTGCCAAAAGAGATTTTGTGGCTACTGGAGGTTCCCCCCTAACAGGTAGCCTCTGACTGTCTTTTCAGCTGTTGGAGACACAGTTGCAGAAGATGAAGTGGTTTGTGAAATTGAAACTGACAAGGTAAGCTTGTCCTATATTAGTACCAATTTTTCATGGTCTCCTATTGGTTTCTTGACCTAATGAAAGAAACAGGGACTGACTGTTAATGTGTAAAGATAATTTTTAACTGCCTCTAACCTGAGTTGTAAAAGTGTTAGGGGCCGGCCCTGTGGCCAAGTGGTTAAGTTCACGCGCTCTGCTTCGGTGGCCCAGGGTTTCGCTGGTTTGGATCCTGGGTGCGGACATGGCACCACTCATCAGGCCATGCTGAGGCAGCGTCCCACATGCCGCAACTAAAAGGACCCAAAGCTAAAATATACAACTATGTAGTGGGGCGATTTGGGGAGAAAAAGCAGAAAGAAAAAAAAAGATTGGCAATAGTTGTTAGCTCAGGTGCCAATCTTTAATAAAAAAGTGTTAGGCTAGCTCATTTAAAAAAAAGAGCTTTAATTTTATAATTTTAGATCGTTCTAGGTGTATGTGCTGTGTATTTTAGTAGCTTTAGTTTTGTTTTTCATTATCACTTTGAGGCACATTAACTGAATATTGCTTTAATGTTTCTGAGAAAGGGTGAATCTTCACAGTAGCATTGACCTGTCAGTACTCTTACTCTGAAAGTGTGGCCTTGGCGTTTCTGTATGCAGGGTTTTCTGTATCAGTGTTGCAACTCCTGTGACTCATATTTGAGATTCTATACAATTAACTTTCTAATGCCGAGTGAAAATTGGACTCTCTGTCCATGTGTCTTCCTTTTCCAGACTTCTGTGCAGGTTCCAGCACCAGCAAATGGCGTGATTGAAGCTCTTTTGGTACCTGATGGGGGAAAAGTAGAAGGAGGCACTCCTCTTTTCACACTCAGGAAAACTGGCGGTAAAGACATTCTCCTGGTTGTCAAGGTCTCCAGTATTCCCCCTGGAAATTGGAGCTGAGCCTAATCTCCTAATTCCTTGATACCTCAAAGACTATTTGGCTTTCCAGCTGCCCTTAGTTGAGGGAATAAGAGGGGTGATATTTATATACTGTAAATTTTAAGTGTCAAGTTCTAGAAGAAAAGGATACTAAAAAAGTAAATCTCATGGGGCCGGCCTGGTGGCATAGCAGTTAAGTTTGCATGCTTTGTTTTGGCGGTCTGGCGTTCACCAGTTTGGATCCTAGGCATGGACCTACGTACCACTTATCAAGCCATGCTGTGGCAGGCATCCCACCTATAAAGTAGTGGAAGATGGGCACAGATGTTAGCTCAGGGCCAATCTTCCTCAGCAAAAAGGAGGAGGATTGGCAGCAGATGTTAGCTCAGGGCTGATCTTCCTCAAAAAATAAGTAAATAAATAGACCTCATAATGCTCTGTTCTTTCTATGTATGTTTCTTGTGCTAGACCTTTTCTTAAAGATGTAATAGAAATGAAGAAGATTCTAAAGACAGTTATTGGTTTTTTTCTCCTCAGTCCTGGCATCAGAATCACCTGGGGGCTTTAAAAATAATACAAATGCCTGGACTCCATGACCCAGGGATTCTGATATCTGGAATTATCAGATCCTGGTTATCTAGCATAGTTTTTGTGGGGTTTTTTTTAATGCTCTCTAAATGATTCTGATACACAGCCAGGGCTGAGAGCTACTGTTTTAAAGTATTAGCAATATTTCATGATGCTGTTATGGAGAATTCAGTGTAGTTTTTTCACATATGTTCTCTCATAACATTCCTAGAGAGGATTGGTATTTCTCTTGGGAAGAAATAAGAAATAAGGAAATAAATTTGTACTGGACCTCACAGTCATTATTAGAGATTAGAAAAGAAAATAACTTTTTCTGATTCTTAGTTAAGTGCTGTAACTACTAAATTCTACTTCTCATTATTAAAATAGTTAAGCAGATAAGTAGTAGATTGCATCATTGAGATTGATCATGGCAAGACCAGAAGCCCAAAAGGGAAAGAATGTACAGTAGAAGGCTAGGAAATAAGATTGATTCTTCCAGTTGAAGAATTCTATCTTCTGGTCATTCATTCCTTAAAAGAATGTCTAATTTAAATATAAAACCAGCTGTGGTGTCCAGATGGGTAAATTCAAAATAAACATCTAATTTAGAGTTATGGGTTTAGGGCCGGCCTGGTGGCCCAGTGGTTAAGTTTGCATGTTCCGCTTCGGTGGCCCGGGGTTCACTGGTTTGGATCCTGAGTGTGGACCTGGCACCACTTGGCATGCCATGCTGTGGTAGGCATCCCACGTATAAAGTAGAGGAAGATGGGCATGGATGTTAGCTCAGGGCCAGTCTTCCTCAGCAAAAAGAAGAGGATTGGCAGCAGTTAGCTCAGGGCTAATCTTGCTTAAAAAACAAACAAAAAATAAAGTTGTGGGTTTATTACTTAACCCCTGTATTGATTTATGAGAAACATCCTAGATGAAATGCTTTGAACTCTTAAGTCTAAATGAGCCCTTGATTATTTACAACTTTTGTTTTTTAATAGTTGAGTATTCTTCCACATGTGACGTGAAAATAGATGAGACTATGAATATTACCATAACTAGAAATATGTTACTTTTATGTATGTGTTTCAACATCTTAAATTGCCTGGAAGTTTCCATTTCCATGGGCTTAGTAGGTGCTTTGAACGTTACATTTCCATGGGCTTGGTAGGTGCTTTGAAAGTAGTTGCTGACTTTGATGATCAGTCAATGTTTGTGAAATCAGAAAGGCAGCTGGATTCAGTCAGTTGTCTTCTTAGGACATGTAGGAGCCCTGGGGAATAGAAGAACAGTGCCTTATATCAGTGTGTGTATCTCATAGTACCTTGCATATAAAACAAATACCCAGTAAATGTTTGTTAATTGGTCAGAGATGGAGCTTTTGCTGCTAAATTCTGCTTAGTATCTGCAGTTTGGTTGCTTTCCACTCCAGACAGTGCCAGTGGCATCTATTTTTCTTGTTTTCCAGCTGCTCCTGCCAAGGCCAAGCCAGCCGAAGCTCCTGCTGCTGCAGCCCCAGAAGCAGAGCCTCCCGCAGCAGCGGTTCCTCCTCCACCTGCAGCATCCATACCCACTCAGATGCCGCCAGCGCCCTCTCCCTCACAGCCTCCTGCTAGCAAACCAGGTGAGCCTCCACCGCCCATGTGTCTTAGATGGGAGAGGAATGTTTCATCTAATGTCATGTTCCTTCACAGGGCAAGGTCTGAGGGTAATAATGGCTCTGAACAGACTTCAGAATGAATGGCTTCATTGGCTGCTTTGTAGAAAGAACTCTAGACTTTGTTATCAGAAGACCTGTATTTGCACCCACGTTTTCTGTTTATAGCTGTGTGACTTTGGGCTAGCTACTTAACTTCTCTGAGCACATTGTTAATACCAGATCTTCTGATACAGATCATTCATTCCCCAGGTGGGAATGGTACTAATACACCTCAGAATATCTTGAAGATTAAGTGACAGTACAGTATGAAAGCACTGGCACATACTCAGTAAATGTTTCTCTCATTTTCTGATGCGTCTGTACCCGCTCTCTTGGTTTTCAGTGTCTGCAGTAAAACCAACTCCTTCCCCTCCAGTAGCTGAGCCAGGAGCTGGCAAAGGTGTGCGTTCAGAACATCGGGTAAGCCACTGAGGACCGATCCAGGAAACAGGCAGGGGGCGTTGTTGAGATTAGTGGGGTGAGAGTATGGTGGTGCTTACCTTTGAATGGCGTGCACCTCACCCTCTTGGTCTTGACAGGGAAACTGAATTTAGGAAGTGTCTTGTTCATAGTCACGTAACTATCAAATGATAGGACTAGACCCTGAGGTCTTCTAAATAGTTGTCCAGTGGTTTTTCCTACTATGTTAAGCTACCGCTGAAATGCCTTGGGTGAGTAAAGTATTTGCAGGGGATGGTAGCTTAGTAACGCACCCCCTCCTTCCCACTTCAGAGAGCTGGTTTGCTGAGCTCTATTCCTATACTTCCTGGATACTTGGCTGAGGGCTACACATTAGCAGTGGCTGTCAAGGGCAGACATAAAACCTCAAGGAAGTATGGTCAAGAGTGTGGGTTCCTCTACCTGAGAATATCTCCTAAAAATACTATAGCCTCAAAAGTTTGTTGCTTGTGAGTTTCCATCCCACAGGTAGCTATTCTCATGCAAGGCTGTATCACCAGAAATTGCCCTTTCTGTAATGATTCTTGGGCTGGCTATCCCTGTACTACACTCTTCCTTTTCATAAATGGGTTTTGGTTTTTAAATCAAACCTTTCCTGAGCCTGCATTCCTGGTCAAACTTTAGGCACATCTGAGAGAGTAGATTTTGTCTATGTTTCCTCATTCTTGCTCAGGAGCAGGACCACCCCAGGAAAGAGAAAGCCAGGAGTTCTCATTGTCCTTAGATACTATAGTCCTTGACCATCCCGTCCTGGCAAGCCGAGTGCTCACTCAGACTAGTGGGGAGTGCTTGATCCACACAGACCAGACACACTCAGTACGTGTCCCACTTTCACTTTCAGGAGAAGATGAACAGGATGCGGCAGCGCATCGCTCAGCGGCTGAAGGAGGCCCAGAATACATGTGCAATGCTGACCACTTTCAATGAGATTGACATGAGGTAAGAACGCTGGTCCTCGTAATCCCCACGCCCTTTCCTTTGGAAAACACTTGAACTTAACCCAGTCGCTACTGCTGATTGCAAAACTACCTTAACAGGGAAGAGGTACTGCTCGGCACTGCTTGTTGACTTACGCAGAGTGATGCACTGGTGTCATTCTCTGATTGACTTTCCTAATACTGTGTCTGCCTCCTCTGTAACTTAAAAAACTTAGCCTTTTAGACTTTTATACCTAAATCTTGTGATTTCTGATAAATGAGGCTAGTAATAATCTGAGGACTAATGTCATGTTGCCAAGTAGAGATAGGGCAACCAGGCCAACAAGGCTTGTGCCCCGGCCTACCCCTTGGGATAGAGAACCAGTTGACAGCATGCTGAAAACCAGGGCACCACACCCTGCTCTTTCTCACAGTGACTGCTCCCTATGCGTGTTCCTAAGCGCCTCAGAATTAGGGGGGTGAAAAGGCATAGGCTTGTCATCTTTCACCTTTCCCGGCTTGGTAGTGAAATGGAAAGCAAATTATGTTTTTAAAGAAAAACCTTAGGATATTAACTACAGGGGCTAATTCACTATACCCATTTCTGTAGTGAGCTAATTGTTGACTGACCCATTTTCTTCAAGATTTTGATGTTTATAAGTATCAGCACTGTAGGGAAGAGAATGTAGTTAAATATAACAAACATTTTTTGAGCACTTACTGTGCTCAAAAGATACTGTAGGTATAAGATACTATATTGTATTTAGGGAGGATACAAAGATAAGTGAAAAAGAGCTTACTGTTTGGTTTGGATAAATGTAAAGAAAAATAAGTATCAGAAGGATACAAAGAGCATGAAGTGGAGAAGAGGATAAGATCATTTGTTTTTGAGCTGGGAGGCAGAAGGAGGGGGAGGGTAGGGTCAGGAAAGGCTTCCTGGACGGAAGACCAGTTTTAATAGGCCTTAAAGAACCATTAGCATTTTGACACAGGTAGCATCTTGGAGGAAGGTCATTCCGGACAATGTTAACAATATGGACTTGACACAGACAGGAAAGTCCAAGACACATTTGAGAAGTATCTGCTGTGAGGACAAACATGTAGGAAAGAATGGTAGAGTTGGATCCATATTTCAGAATGTTTTGAATGCCATGATAAGAGTTTATGTTTAATTCTGAAGGTAAATTATCAAGTCGTCAGTTCATCTCTGCTTCTTTTTGTCCTAAGGGTTTAATCTGCTAATCTGCTATTTTTTTCTTTTGGTGAGGAGGATTGGCCCTGAGCTAACATCTGTAGCCAACTTCCTCTTTTGGCTTGAGGAAGATTGTCCCTGAGCTAACGTCTGCACCAGTCCTCCTCTGTCTTGTATGTGGGGCTCCGCCACAGCATGGCTTGATGAGCGGTGTGTAGGTCCATGCCCAGGATCTGAACCCGCGAACCCCTGGCCACCAAAGTGGAACATGTGAACTTACCCACTACACCACTGGACCAGCCCCTGCTAATCCACTTTTCATTATGGAAATTTGTCTTCCTTTGGAAGAGGTCTGAAAAGTATAGAGAAAGCAGTGGTTTATTGGTAGTGTACTGTGGCATTGTTCACAGAGTAGGGCTCTGTGGCCTATTTCACTTGATGTCATCCATTCTATTTTGAAGCTTCCTAAAAAGTTGAGTTGCCATTCAAGCCAAAGATTTCTCTCCTATCCATAGGATGTAGGGAAGGACCTTGACTGATGAATCACAAAGGCTGCGGATTATGTTTCAGTGCATTAGGGCTAAATTGTACACAAATTGAATTGGACTTTGAAATTCTACCCAATTCCTTAAGACAAAACATGTAAATATTTGTGGCCCTGAAAGATGCAGTTGGCTTAACAGCTTTGTTTGGAAGGTAAATGCAATAGCTGGATCTCCTTTCAGCAGCTAATCGAGGTGTCACTTAACAATGGCCTGGGGTCTCGCTGCAGTCAGTAATCTGGTTTAGATTGAGTGCCCTTTGGGTCTTGTGCTGATCAGCTAACCCATAAGGGGCCTGTCTGAGACCGTCTTCTCTCTCCTGTTGTCCCAGCCTCTGCCTCCAAGGGCAGAGCTCTGAAATAGAAACTGCTTAATGACCAGACAATAGCATTTGGACAGTTTTGAGAGCAGAGATGTTCATCACTTCTCTTTCCATCTTATGTAGCTCTTGTGTCTTGGGAATCAGTAATGTCTTTAGGGTGGTAATCCTAGCACTAAATATGGTTAGATTCAGGAAAACAAACATTTTAAACCCAATCAGGCCCCCCAGGAAAACTTCCTTTTTCAAAAACAAAAGGTCTAAAGAGGGGAGTTAAAGTTATACCATCTTATCTTTCATGCTGATGTCGAATTAGGCCATTATGGGGAGAAAGGGAGAACTAAGCATTTGGACTTGAGATAAAGTTAAATTCAATTTCCATCACGGAACTGTATGTATTCCCATCAATATGGAGGTTTCTGCAGCAAAATGATGGGAAAGCCATTTCCCATTCACTCTGCAGTATGTATGTGGAGCAACGCCCCCCCCCCAAAGGAACAAAGGCTCTTCCTGTTGCAAAAACTTCTCAGAGGCCCTGCTGCTCATACCTTAAAAGCTTATGTCCAGGGGCTGGCCCCGTGGCCGAGTGGTTAAGTTCGCGTGCTCTGCTGCAGGTGGCCCAGTATTTCGTTGGTTCGAATCCTGGGCGCGGACATGGCACTGCTCATCAAAAACCACGCTGAGGCAGCGTCCCACATGCCACAACTAGGTGGACCCACAACGAAGAATATACAACTATGTACCTGGGAGCTTTGGGGAGAAAAAGGAAAATAAATAAATAAATAAATAAAATAAAATAAAATAAAGCTTATGTCCACACGTGGCCACTTCTCTAAAACCAAAGAAACCACATCCATTAAACTAATCGCAAGGGCAAGAGCTGTGTCTTTATTATCTTTGTATCTTGGTGCCTGACATTGACGCTCACGTGTGGTGAGTGTTAGCACCTCTTTGAAGGACCAAGCAGATGGAACTGCTAAGTCTGGGGAGATGAAGAATGAATCTGCCGGCTATCCCATGAGCCTAAAAGAATGCTGTATACTCATCCATATATAGTCATGACTTCTGTTGCTCACATGGAGCCCATACACTTGTGGGGTTTGGTCTCTACTCCCCCACCCAACCCCCCCAATTAAGAGATAGGAGGAATGTCATAAGGAAGTCAATCAGATTTTGTGAAACTGATTCTAACAAGAAATAAAAAGAATATTGCTTATTTTGTGAACTTTTTTTATGCTTAAATTTTTTTTTCCCAGAATAAATGGCTCATGATTTTAGTGTAGCCAGAAATTACTTTCTCATCCAAGGCAAGGATGTTGGTGTGCTGTGTGATCTCTTCTTCATATTATCTGTTACTGAAATTTGTGACTTCTGGCACATGACGGAGCCCTGTAAAGGACTCGACCCACCTTAGAGACAGATTGGACCTGATTCCTTTGTATCCTGGTTTATGAAGGAACAAGGTTATTGTGTCAACCTCTAGTGGACTATTTAAAAACCTGAACTTAGGTAGATGGTCCAGAATGAGGGAAAAAAGCTTACTCAGTTGTGTCCGTGGAGTTAGAAATTGGTATGAAAGTCAAAAGTAAGGCTTCATTTGTGGTCAGTTTGTTTTGTAATGTGTTTTTCAGTAACATCCAGGAGATGAGGGCTCGGCACAGAGATGCTTTTCTGAAGAAACATAACCTCAAACTAGGTTTCATGTCGGCGTTTGTGAAGGCCTCAGCCTTTGCCTTGCAGGAGCAGCCTGTTGTAAATGCAGGTGAGTTTGTGGTGGCCAGAATCACAGAGGTCCTGGGAAGTATGAGTATGAACACAGACCTGCTCCAACACACACACACACACAAAGATGGGGGTCAGCAGACCAAGGCTTTTTATTTCATGTCTGTGCAAACATGAGTATCTTCCCCAGGGAATTCTTGACTCACCTTCCTGAAATGGCTTCCTAATTACTTTCTCCCTACCAGCTGGACAGAACAGTTTCTCTTCCCAGTGGATAGCTTCGCAGCTGCTCTGGCAACAGGCAGTCCTGAGCCAGCTCAGCTCTCCAGGCTTCACATTGTCAAGGTGGAAGCTCATGTTCTGGCTAGCACCTGCCCTCTCATAAACCCTAATATCTTGGGGCCTGATTTCCCCACTAGGCAGGGCTCCAGGGTGACCTTTGATTTCTGATCACTGGAGCTCATTGGGAGGTCTTGGGCTTGGCCCTTCTTTCATGGACTTGGTGCTCATTTTCCTTATTTCTAACTCACCGCTTCATTGAAATGTTGACCTAACAGGCAGTTCTCTTTCCTGTTGAATCACTTCTCTGTTCCTGGAAGATTAGAGAAGGGACAGTGACACTTTTGCAACCCTTAACAGTGCCAGGGTCCCTAAAGATCCACAAATAGAAACACTAGTCCCTTCCATCTTAGTCCCCTAGGTAGAAGGGCTATCTTTGTTTTGTCCAGATGTGTACCTCCTTATTTCTCCCGATCCTCTCATCTTCCTGATTGGCTCTCTCCATCTCTTTCTTCCGTCTGCCCGTACGTGTAGGCATTTCTCAGCGTTCTTTTGGCCTCTTTCTCCCTTCACATGCTTTTCCTGTGTGTCTGATCTAACAATGCAGCATAGACTTTCTATGGAAAATGATTCCCCAGCCTTTTCTCATGAGTATTTTCTCATGAGCACTAGACCTAAATTTTCAGCTGCTGGTTTGCTCTCTCAAGCTAGCATATAAAAGCCAGACCACCCTGCTTCCTCTTGAGTCTCACCCCTTGTTGAGAGTGGGCAGCAGAATGACAGCATCCCCTGCCTTTGCTAATTTGCCTTTTTTGGAGCACTTCTTAGACCTAGCAGTTAGCTAAGGGAAGGCTTGAGTAGAGCTCGTTAACAAGAACTTAATGTGTTCCGATCCCGTGGCAGCCACTGTATAGGGCTGCCAAAGAAATGGATACTTCTACACTCAGGCTCAGTCAGTCAGGGCACTTGGGAGATGTTACGACTGGTTGGCATGGGAGTAAGAAGTGTCTTCCACTTGTAATGCAGTAGTTTTTGTACTAGTTGGTCAGGCCACATCGTACCAAGCTCTGCAGATTTTTACTGTATTCCTATATTACCCCATTAGCCTAGGCCTGGGGAGTTGTATGTAACATGTGTTTTCTCTCTCATAGTGATTGACGATGCAACCAAAGAGGTGGTGTATAGGGATTATATTGACATCAGTGTTGCAGTGGCCACCCCACGGGTATGTTGGGGCAGAAAGTGGGGCAGCTTTGGTTTTAGACTCTCTCCTTATCTGTGTGAAGAAGCGGACCCCTGGGAGAGATCCTTTCTGTAATGCTGTCTTTTTAGAAGGGAGTTAGTAAAAGAGTAACCTGTTTTTGACCATAGCACATTATTTTATCTGAATGTCAAACCTAAATATTTTAGACTCTGTTAATCACATTGAGTAATTAAGATATTCTGGAGAGGGGAGACCATTGGCTGGAGTCAAGGGAGTTATAACTATAAAGGGTACTGTTAATTTGCAACTGAACACAGCTTTCTACTCTCATCAGGGTCTGGTGGTTCCCGTCATCAGGAATGTAGAAGCTATGAATTACGCCGACATTGAGCGAATCATCAGTGAACTTGGAGAGAAGGTAAAGTAGAAAGGAGTATGTGTATGAGCTAGTGGGCAGGTCAGGGAAGAGAGCCTGGAGAAGGCTGGGCTCCCCAGTGAGCAGTGCTCAGGGAGCTGGAGCCTCACTCTGTTCTGTAAGAAGTGTGTAGCCCCTGAGAACAGCAGTCACCCCCAAGAGCCAAAGTACAGATATCTGGCGGAGCTTAGTCTGCTCTCATGACTGAAGATCTCATCAAATGAGACCTGCTGGGAAAAGAAAAGGTCCTGAAGTCCTCAACTCTGTGGCATGATGCCTTTCCTCTGGTGGAACACTGGTCACAAGCATCTCAGCTGAACATCTTTCATGTTGAAGCTAGAACTTGGACACAGTAGATCAAAATGATCTCAGATCCAAGCCCTTCTGGACTTCATTTAGGTAAAGAAAGCTGGATTCACTTTTTCACTTATGAAATCTTTGTTTTTAGGCCCGAAAGAATGAACTTGCCATTGAAGATATGGATGGTGGTACTTTCACCATTAGCAATGGAGGCGTTTTTGGCTCGCTCTTTGGAACACCCATTATCAACCCCCCTCAGTCTGCCATCCTGGGCATGCATGGCATCTTTGATAGGCCAGTGGCCGTGGGAGGCAAGGTAGGAACCATCACTGCTAACATCCTACCAGCTAGGTGATGAGGAGAGGGAAATGTAAATGCTAATTTTAAAAGATTCCCTGTAATTTCAGGCATAAGTTCCATCTCATAGTTTCTAGTTAGTACCTAAGGCACTGATTCTCAAATTGTGTGTCAATTCACATCATCTGGGAACTTGTTAGATGTGCAAATTCTTCGACCCCTTCCCAGACCTGTTGAAGCAGAAACTGCAGATGATTCTGATGCACATTAAAGTTTGAGAACCATTGAGCTAAGAAAGCTTGCTCCTTCATCTGGGATCAGTCAACAAGCTTCATTCTCCAGGTTGCTATAGGGGGATACAGTTGGAGACGTGGTCCTTGCCCCCAGGAAACAGGACAACCATGCAGAGCAGTCTACGAGCTGTCAAGTTGTATGATAAGACTTAGAGGTTCTCCAGGAGTTCAGGGAATGAGTCAAAGGGTTTAGAGCTGGCCCTGGAAGATATGTTGGTAGGAATATGTTTTCTGGGACTTCTGTGTTTAGAACGTTTTTGGGTCACTAACTCCTTCATGAATCCGAAAATCATAGATCTTCTTCCCTGAAAATGTTCACACCCCAACTTTGCATACAATTTCAGACAATTTGTTGACCCCAGGTTAAAAAAATTTTTTTTTTTAAATTATAACCCTAAAAAAGAAGCTGCAGACAGCCAGAACTGAAGGATAAACTTTGTGTAGACAACAGATCAATAAGAGGGCAGAACGTGTTTAAAAAAGGTGGTTGTGAGGAGTCTCGTATTTTCCTGGTTAAGCTTTGTTTCGGAGTCTGGGAGCTTTGCACTAAGCGTAAGCCTTGGTCTTTGAAAATATTCTAAGTATCTAGAAACAATAGCAATAGGAAAGGCTCTGGAACTGGGAACTCTCCTGTGGGCTGTGCTTTCTCATCTTCCCCCTCAGCGGGGCTTTCTCTGCCCTGCTGCAGACAAACTTGTTCATTTCTCTCTGTAGGTGGAGGTGCGGCCCATGATGTATGTGGCACTGACGTATGATCACCGGCTGATCGACGGTAGAGAGGCCGTGACTTTTCTCCGCAAAATCAAGGCAGCGGTAGAGGATCCCAGAGTCCTCCTACTGGACCTCTAGGAGGAAGCCCCGCGCCATACACATCGACCATGCAGGAACTGAAAACCAGTCTTCTCCCTGTCCCCTCATGGGTCCCAGGTTAGCCTGGTGACAGGCACATGCTGTTGGCCTCACGAAAGGAAGCCAGGGCACTATGTAACCAGCAGGTCTTTTCTTGGTGTCCCTGCCAGGCTCTCTCCCTCTCTGCACCGTTCTCTTAACACTCAAATATCTTATATCCTTAGGCTTGAGGGAAAGAGAGAGCCTTAATGGATGCTCGTTAATATTGCTGCCTTCTGCAGAGATGACTTTGCTTCTTCCCAGTGCCAGTACACTGTAGGACCATGTGATTAAGTTGCTACCATTTGAAAGTTTGGTCTCCGGAGATGTGTAGTGGGGCATGTGCCTCCCAAGCTCAGAGCAGCCTCTGACCTGGCTGTGCATGTTCTCGCTCATTCCACTTGTGTGGAGGTATTGCCCACAGGCCAAGAGGTGCTGCTTTGCTTCTTAAATGGCACCCTCATTCTCAGCTGTCACTGACTTCAAGATGCCTCTTCTACCTCTTCCGGGAATCACAGGCCAGGGGATCTGGCTGGGAGCAGGGTGGGCAGTGTTGAAAGGGGAAGGGCAGGTTCTCCCTGAGGTCATATGTTGTAAACAACACGGGAGCAGAACACAGGCCTGTCCTCACTCTCCATCATAGCTTTGCACCAGGAAGACCCATTTTGGCACAGTCACACACAGCTGTGCTCATGCCAACCTTTCCAGGCTGCTAGGAACCATTCGAGTACGCTGTTCTCATTTAGAGCAGATTCAAGCACATCATGGCAGTGGGACAGAGCATGGTCACAACCAAGGGCTGGAGCCTGGTAGAGATAGGGGTGCGAGATGCTGTGGACTGGCTCAGCTTGTCTTGGACTCTTAAATTCCGCCAGTATAAGCATGTGGACTGAGAGGCAGTTTTGTTCCTTCCTACGTCATGGCCCTTAGGGAGTGGGGCCTTAGCTCTTCCTCGGCAGAAAACAGGTCGGGGGAAGATGGACTGTGGTGGAAACCAGCCCCAAGTACAGTGGGGAGATGGCCATTGTCACCTCTGAGGTCCTGCCTGTTAGGTCTGGACACAATCATTGGAATTCCTTGGAGTATGGTTCAATGCACACATCTTGTCACGAAAGCTACTGGACTTCATCCCTTTGTATCCAACTGCATCCAGGCCTGAGACTGCTGACCCTTGACACCAGGAGCCATTTATTTAGTGCAGAGTGCCCATTTGTATCTTGAGCGAAGAAGCTAGGCCTGGGGGGTGGGGTGGGGGGAAGGGATGGGAGCCAATACTGAGTGCCTGCAGCATCTACTATGTCTTCACTATTCAGAACCTGTAACTAAAGTATTTAAAGAAACTGATTTTAAATGCAAATTAAAGGGCAAATGTTCTCAAACAGGGTTCCTGCTTCTGTGTTTCTTCTGGTTACTGAGGTGGTACAAGTCTCCGGGACTGTGATTGTCATTGGCACTGAAAGCCACGTAATGTCCTGTAGACTACCCTGTGGTATCTGACTTCTGAAATAAGTTAACACTACTAAATTGACAGAAGTCCAGGGAAGTGCCCCGGCTTCCTTCCAATGCACCCCTTGACCTGGCAGGCCATGTGCTTGACGAGAAATTGGTTCCCTCCTTTGTGAAGCCCCTTCAAACACTAACATATTTGCATTAACATGTTTGAGGACTTGCATTATTTTGGGGATGGACTGGGGAGATGTAGGGCGACTCTTTCATACAATTTTGGACTTTATTGCCACGTGTGTACCAAGATGCTTAAGGTCAGTAAGAACAAATGAGGGTGGATCACCTCTGGGAGCAGTGACCTGTGAGGGTAAGTGGACAGGGTTGGGAGCTAACCTAGAACGACTACAGGTGACAGGCATTAATGCTGGTGTCCAGGCTTAATCACAGCCTGGTCTTTCACAGTCCCTGCCTGCTGAACTTGCTTGAAGTGATGCCATCTATCTGAAGGTGTCACAAGCATGAAGTGGCTCTCAGAGGGTAGAACTAGAGTTGGTAGAAAAATTCTAGTTCAATGAAGGGAAGAATTTTAGAATTATGTATCAGGTCTAGGGCATGGTGCTAGCAGCCCTGATTTCTCTAGTAGCCCTACAGAGGGGGTATCCGTATTACATCTTACACAGAGGAGGTATACTGTGGGACCACAGTGTTCACAACTCGGGGCCTAGCAAAGTGCCAGATGTGCAGTGTTTATTGCATGCATGGGGCCCAGAAGTTCCAGAAGCAACTTGCACTTCATTCAACAGTGATTGGAAGTGGTCTGGCCTGACTTAGGAAGTGTAGCAAAAGGAATGCAGATTTGAATAGGCTCCACCAGCTCTGAGCAGGTCCCAACAGTAACCTCTTTGAACAGGAGCCACCACCTGTCGCAAGGGGTCACTGTGAGTATTAAACGTGTTCCTCTGAGGCACCACGACCCTCTTCTAAGACTTCGCTTCCTGTTTTATTTCCCACAGAGCCCAGTGCCCCCTACATGCCAGCACTTCCCTTGGGCTCAAAGCTGCTCTGCAGGGCACAGGCTGGCATGCTGTTCACCACCAGCCCCGCTGCTTATTACCTAGCAGACTCCAAGCTCACTCCTCACTATCATGGAGCTTCCCTGGGGTTGCTTTCCAATCTCACTGTTTGGGCAGGGCAGCTCTCATTCCATTAATGAGGCAAAGACACCATAGGCAACAGCAGGCTTTATTGGGGCGGGCGGGGGGGGGGGGGTATGGGCAAGCCCCAGGGAAAGCCAGGACCATACACAGGCTGCACTTCCGCATGTCCTCTCTGTCCAGAGTCACCCTAGGGACCCCAGGAGTGTCATGGCCTCCCCATAACACAGGCCCCCTAGCCCCAGTTAGAGTTGGTCCTTCACAGCCAGACTGGAGGACAGTGTCAGAGGCGCCACCTGGTGGTGGTAGAGACACACCAGAAGGAAGGAGTTGGGAGCAGAGCTAGTGGAAGTTACTGTATTAGGTGCCACACCCCAGTGACAGGGTGAGTCCTGAGAGGAAGAGGTCCCCAGTCTTGGGACTGTCTTTGGGGGTAACTACTTACCCCAGCTCTTCAGAGACCAGAAACATCTTGCTTCTGGCTAAAAGCTTGGGCAATCATTCCATGTGTTTTGTGGTTCTCATTTCAAAAAGGGATGAAGTCACAGTGGGCAGTGAATTGAGTGGACCCTCAAGACTAAAATGCAAAATGGTAAACAGGACTAGTGTCCAAGAAGGGAATCCTAACAGGTACAACTTATTTCAGCAGGCTGGAGGCAGAATTGTCACCTCAGACCCGTGGGGCAGGTTCCCCTTTCTCTCCACACCAGTGGGCTAGCTGGAGAAGGGAGCTCTTTATTGTGTTTTCAGAATTGCTCGACACGACAGAGCTGTGCATCCCTCCCTCTCCCCACTCCTCCTTATCCTTATTGTCCTCCCCTCCCTTCCTTTTGCTCTCCAAAGTCTGGAATCACAAGATAAAGAGCATGGTCAGGAGGGTGCGGTGGGGTCATCCTGTCCCCCACTTCACCCCATGCCCATTACAGACTTCTTCTCCGCTTCCCAGCCTCCCCACCCTCTGCAGAAGTAGCCTGGTGGAAGAGGCCCACTAGTTGCATGGCTAAGATGACCAGCCAGGACAGCCCTGGTTTGGGTCCACTGAGCCAGTGAACCAGTATCCTGAGATGAGTGTCCAGAGATGTCCCAAGTTGGGTACATGGCAGATGGTGAGTCACAAAACCTCTTGGGCAGCTCAGCAGGTGGTCAGTAGTTCAGAGCTAATGTGGTGGAAGGCACCCTTTAACGTGGTAGGTCTATGTTCGAGGTACAAGGTGTGTGCCCAACAGGTATCTGTTGACTGATGGGTGGAGGACGGATGGGTGAAGGGGTCCAAGCTGCCTAGCAAGGTGAGATCCTCCTGTCCCTCCCCCTCAGGAGTGACTAAAAAGGATTTCTCCAAGAGCTGGCCAGGGCCACTCCCTAGGCCCTTCCGGGGTAGTGGCGATGGTTACTTCTGAGGTTACTTCTAGGGGCTGAGCAGGAAAGGCAGCTGGCCTGCGTTCTTTGCCTGAGTGCCACTGATTAGAGGGGCCCACTTGGGGTGAAGGCAAAGAGAAGAGAGGCGATCCAGACCAGTCCAGCTGCTTCCATCGCCTGCTCCACCCCCTCTTACCCCACCAGTTTGCTCCACTGGATAGTACTGAAAAAGGGGTGGGATTTGAGTTTGTTGACACCACCTCCTCCGGCGCCCAGGCGCCGAGAGGGATCAAACTGCAGCAGCTGCGGAGAAAGGCCCGGGTCAGCACTCAGCAGGCCTTCCCAGCCCCACCCACTTCTGAGGCATGGGCTGACCTCCAGGGACTCCAGTCACCATGGACCCAGGGGCTCAGTCCCTGCCAGCCCAGCCCACAGGACCCCCAGTCCCCCTGGGGGGACTTTGGTTGTGTTTGGCCACCAACATACAGAAATCTGTCATCCCTACTACCCTCCTGCACCCACATCAGACATCCAGCACGCAGCACAGCTTGCTCACACACAGGGTTCTACCCTCCCAGCACCCGCCCTCAGGCCAAACTGCCTCCTCTGGCCTGGCTATACCTCACCTCCGTCAGCAGGGAGGCTGCTGGGCGACTGAGCCACTCGGGCAGCTGGAGCTGGGTGTGGGGCTGGATTCCTGAGGGATGGCTCTGGGACAGTGCCTGGGAAGACATAGTGAAGAGCCTCTGAGGAGACAACCCCAGGAAAGTCTGTACACTCCAGTGGCAGCCAGGACTTTATTTACCCCCCAGTGCCACATCCCATGGGAATGATGATGATGATGATGTTGATCGTGGCCTTTTGCTTTGGATCTACTGTATGCCAGTCTGTGGATGATGCCTGACATCCATTATCCATAATTCCCACAACAACCCCCAAAGCAAGTACGAGCATCCCCATTTTAAAGACAATAAATAAGCCCAGAGAGGTAAAGGACTTGTGCTGAGTTCAGGGTTTGAACCCAGGTCCCTCTGGCTCTAAGCTTGCTCGAAGCATCAATCTTGGGTTGCAATCAGGGCAAGCACTCTATCAAGAACAGCACCGGAACTTGTCTCCTTATAGAAAAAACTCCCCCGGCTACTCAGGGCCAAGGCAGGGTGGAGACAAGGGAAGAAGGCAGAATCTCCCCATGCTCCAGAAGGGGGCAGCTGTGGAGAGCAGAGAGGTCTGTCTGGAGGCCAGGAAGAGCTGCAAGAAGCAACCAGGAGGCAGGCCAGGAGCCCTGGGCTAGACAGGTGGCGGGAGACCAAGGGGGAGAACCACTCTATGGCGAGATTTGCATCCAGGGCTCTCAGAGGCGCGGGCTATGGGACGGAAGCTGGAGGGAGCCAGGATGCACTGGTCGTATCTGGGCTGCAGGTCACACTGCATCCACTCCTGTCATTTCTTGCTCAGATGCAGTTTGGCCTCTCCCATTCTGCCTGACCTGACCAGTCCCAGGTGCGGTGCTGAGCTCAAGGAGGAGGCTCAGAGGCTGCCATCCTGAACACAGGTGTTTGCAGGGCGAACTTTGAGCTCTTGGACAGAGCAGCTGCTGGCCTGAATGAAGGATGCCCTCTCTCCTGTCCTCCAACCAAAGTCTGGGGGTTACAGCCCAGGAAGGTGTGGACGGGGAGAGGAAGCTTGGGGGATGAGTCAGTGGCCTTCCGGGAAAGAAGGGCTGTGCCAAGCCCCACCCTCCCTCCAGACATAGGCCCGAGTTTTCTCTTCCAGAAACCTTCCTTGACCATCCCAACTCAACTCTCATTCATATAAGTTGACGGGCTCTAGCTATAGTCACTAGTGTGGTGGGGGTGCTAAGTGTGTCTATGGCCTGGGTGGGAGTGGCTTCCTGCATCTCTCATGGCCTGAGCGGGCAGCTGGGGGGAACAGCTATGCTAGCAAGACACCCGGCCCAATGGCCAGGTCTTGGAGACCAGGCAGCCCCAGCCACAACACTGGCTGGTTGGACCAAGCCCAGCCCATTCTGCACTCAGTGACACCCACCAGGGCTCCACACCCTGCCTGGCTACTCACCGTGCCAGTCAGCAGTTCATACAGTAGAGACCCAAAGCTCCACCAGTCACAGGCATCCGTCAGCTCAGAAATCCCACCCACCTCTGTGGGAACAAGAACACACATGTCCCAGCCTCACCCAAGAGGGCAGGTCTCCACCCTACTCATCCCACCCAGACGCGGCACATTCCTTCAGCCCCCAGCTTAGCCCACACCAAGGCACCCAAGATCTAGAGGCCCCTGGCACCCCCCTTCTTGCCTGGGGCGCTGTAGAGGTTGTCCAGGGCCTCCCTGCAGAACTGGGGCTCTACCTCAGACCACTGGCCGAAGTACGTGAGCCGGACATGACCTTCCATCCAGTGTGTGCAGTGAAGAATAAGGGCGACAAAAATTGTGGTCATTGTTGAGCAGCTGGCATGGGGGAGGGTACTCCAGGGCTCCCGCCAGCAGTCACAGGGCAGGAGCCAGTGACCACACTGGGCAGAGCCTCCCTAGGGGCACGGCCCCCTGAGGCCCAGAGATGACCAGGTGTTCCTAGCAGCTGCTGCCCTGGACTCGTGGGGGAAAGGGGCTTGCTTCCCAGGCTCAACCTTGCCAACCAGACTCGGCAGAGGCCAGCATGAAAAGGCTGGGGGGAGGCATGGCAAGAAGCAGATAGCCCCTGCGTTCCCTTTGACTTTGGGGAGCTCTCGTTCTGTCTTCAGGGGCCCCCACCTCAGGGAGGGGGAGGGGGAGGGTGGCCTACTCCGCTCCCTGCTGGCCTGGGGCACCTACCTGCCTGATCCAGGAGCAGGTTCCGGGGATTGAGGTCCCGGCACAGCACCCCCTGCTCATGCAGCGCCTCCAGTGCCACCAGCGTCTCTGCCGCCCACTGCTTCACCTGCTCTTCTCTCACGCTCCAGGCTCCTCCAGCAGACCCCAGGCTGGCCCCATCCCCTGAGGGGCGGCTCTGACCTCTGCCTCCGCCACAGCCCCCCAGCACCTGGCCAGCCCCTTCACGAACCCAAGGAAGCCCCCAAGAGGGCCCCATGTCCGGGCTCTGGCCAGGTGCCCACCTGGCTTGGAGGTGTAGGTGGCTACTTGGGGCCTTTGGAAGGTCCGAGGAGCACGCGGTGCTGGTCCTGGCTGAGGGTTCACCTTCAGCCTCTCTCTGGGGTCTGATGGATGGGGCATCCCTGGCTGGGGGAAGGCTCTGAGAAGTCCGTGGAGGCTCCGGGGTGATTCTGTCCTGCAGGCGGGTGTGGCCCAGGGGAAACAGTGCTGGGGTCCGGAGGCTGAGGGGGCAGTTGAGCTGAGCCTTCATCCTCTCCAGGCTGGAGCCAGATCTGAGCCCAGACTGTTGGGGGCATGCCTGGGAGAGCAGGTGGGACCACAGAGTGCCTCCTGGGCCATGCAGAGGGAGCGGCGAGCATGGGGACAGGGGAGAAGAAGAGCATGGACGCCAGGTCCCTGTCCCACTCGTGCTTCCCCTCTCTGTGGCATCGACCCTCTGCTCCCTCCTTCCCTCAGCACTCTCCCTCCTCTCGACTCATCTGGAGGACCCCTGTGCCACAACCGGGCATAAAATCGGTGCTTAACCCCTAAGCAGATGTAAATCATTGTTACTGTCCTTGTTTTGGGTGGTAAGATCACTGGTGTTCAACATGTTACAATTTTTTTTTTCTTTTTTGGGGAGAATAGTATAATAAAATTAAAGCAAAATAAAATAAAAGAAGGCCAGGCATGGAGCTGTGATGACTACAGGTCATGACCCAAGGACATGTACCTCATTAAAAAAATCACCTCTAATAGGTGATCAATAAATAGCTGCCACGTGGCCCAGTTCCTGTCCTTACAGCTTCAGTCACCCCCAGACCATGTGGCCATTCTTATGGATGGGCACAGACTAGAAAAATGAAGACAGCCAAGATTGGAGGAAATGGTGACAAAGGGGACATCTGTGTAAATGTTCTCTTGTCCGCCTAGGATGTGAACATCTTCCCCAGGACGTGCCATGCCTCCTTGGCACCACAGAGGCCCACGAGAGCCTGATCCTGCCATGCCCCTCCAGAAAGCCTGGGTCCCCTACTCTGTGCTGCACATCTGGGGCAAGTCACCCCCCTCCTCAGGGCTTGGCATTTTAAGGGGATGAAAGAGGACAACACCCCAAAGGCCTGAGGAGCTGACAGGGCCCTCAGGCCCCCTCACCTTGCACATGCTCCAGGTGCAGGAAGATGGAGTCCTCACTCACAAAGTACCGCAGCAGCTTGGTCATGTAGGGGACACCATGTGGGATGATGGTTAGCCGCTCCCGGCTCGCCACATGGCACCTGGACAGGCTCTGGGGAGGGGACGGGGCAGGCAGATCAGCTGGGGACAGTCCAGAGGCTGCTCTGCTGGGGGATGTCCTGGCCCCAGCTTCAGGGGAAACCGGATGAGGGATGGGAGCCACCTTGAGGAGCAACTGCCTCCCCAGTTCCTGACCTGGCCCTCACCCTATTTCCACCGTGGCATCCAGGTCCTCCACCCTCAAGGCCAAGGATGAGGCAGGATGTGTGTGTGTGTCTGGCTGGGAGGAGGGGGCATGCTCAGGGGCAGAACAAGCAGCTTTTGGATTTGGAAGGAGCAGGGGCTTGAGATACAGGTTCTGGGTACAGGGTTCCCCAGAGGGTGAGCTTCCCAAGAGCTCTGAGAAAGTCCCAAGGGGAATGCAGAGTGACACGGGACTGGGTGGCACCTGCCTTCACCACGAAGGTCCCTCCAGTCGCTGGATCCTGGACCAGCTGCACCTGCCAAGGTCCAAGAGGCAACAGTCAAGGCACATGCTAGTTCCCGGGGCCCCATGGCCCCAGCCCCAGGCCCCCTCGGTCCTCCACTGAGGCTGACTCATTTCAAGGGTAGGGCAGGGAGGGCAGGCTTTGGTGGTACCAAGTATGTCTCCCGCCCCCCAAGTTGACATTGATCCTGTCCTGCTCATCTACCCTTGTTAGACCTGCAGATCTTAGCTCAGGTGCCACCACTGTCAGGAAGCCTTCCCAACCCTCAGGTTGAGCTGGGGCCCCTAATCTGTCTCCAGTACTCTCTGGGCTCGCCCCTAGGGGAGCGCTATCACACTGCATCTAATTTCCTGTCTCCCCAATAGACTGTGAGCTCCGTGAGGACAGGGACCACACTATCCGGTTCTGTATTCCCAGAGCCCTGCACAGCATGGGGATGTTGTAGGGGCTCCACGCATGCGTGGTGAGTGGTCCATCTTGCAGGCTCTGAAGGTGTCATGGCTGGAAGGGACCTCAGTCAACCCCTTCTGATCTCTTATTTTACAGGTGAACAAGCTGAGGCTCTGAGAGTGTGGTCCCAGTTCACCCATGTGCTGAGCTGGGAGCACGCAGTGTTCACCTGCTCCTTCAGGTCTCTTGCTCTGCCCGCCCCACCCCTTTTAAACAGTCTCTCTCTCTCTGGAGGCTGTCTTTGGAGAGCAGCCTGCTCCTACCCTTGTTGGTTTGGGGTAGAGGCAGGGGTCAGGGCCTTGAGCTGGGCCCTGACTCATCTCCATGGTGGGCAGGGGTAGACCCCAGCCCTAGGAGAGGGTACGCTGGCACACTGGGGCAGAAAGGCGGAAGATTCAGCCCAGATGAGCAGCAGGCGGGGGCAAGACCAGCACCCAAGTGGTGTGACTCCTTGGCCCTGCAGACACTCCCCATGATGGCGCGTGGGAGGACAGTGATGAAGATGCAGCCTGGGATCAGGGGGGGACAGGGGCACTGGGTTTAGCTCTTAGGTGAGTGAATTGATTTTCTCATCTATCAAACAGGAATCAGAAATGCCCACCTTCCCTCATCCCTGGTTGGTTGAGGCCATAAATGGGAAGGCCCTCTGTGAATGTAAAGACCATCTTAAGAATGCCAGTTATCACATTTGCCAAGTTGCATCACCTCTCTGAACTTTGTTCTTCTTAATGGCAAAATGGGGTCGCGGCAGTACCTCCTTCAGAAGGTCACTAGGAGGATTCTAGTAAAGCAGACGACTCAACAGCAGCAGCAGCCCGTGCCCGCCACACAGCACGCCCTCAGTAATCTGTACTGACGATTATGATCGTAGGGGAACCCACACCGGCTACAGAGCCTTTACTCTGTGCTAAGCGCTTTACTTAGATTATTTAATTTTACTCCCACAGACCTACCAGGTGAGTGTTACTAGTGACCCATTTTATTGATGAAGAAATTGAGGTTCAGAGAGGTTATGTTGCCTACGAGCCCACTGCTAAAAAGGGGTAGAGACAGGATTTGAATCCAGGCAGGCTGATCCCAGAGCCCTGGAGACCTAACTGCAACTAGGGGCACAACCAGGTGACCTTGGTATGTGCCCTCCCCTCTGGGCCTCAGTTTTCTCATCATCAGAGAAATGAAGGTGAGGGAGTCGAGGAGCGCCAGGGCCCTTTCCGCAGCAGGAGGGAGGCGGCCCTTCTGACCACCAGAGGTCTCTCCTCCAACAGCCGGAGCCCGGCTCCGGCTCCTTCACTAAATTTGTGCAATGTTTGAAAAAGAAAGGAAGAAAACTCTGGAGTCATTTAGGAGAACAGAGTTTCCCACAAGTACTGACAGCCCAGATAATTCCCCACGTCCCTGGCCAAGTGGGATTCCCTGCCACCTTGTCCTGGGCAAGGTCCTCCCATTTACAGAGTCCAAAAAGCCAGCAGTGATGGTGGGGGAAGCCAGAAATAAAACTTGATCAGCATACTGAAAAACGTGTGTTAAAATATATATGTACATATATATATATATATATATATATATATATACACACACATATTTAAACCTACCTACCTAGGAAGAATTAAACCAAAACATTAACAGTAATTGTCTTGGAGTTAGGTAGGATGGTGGGGAATTTCTGTTTTTCCTGTTTCATTACATCTCAAAAGGGTTGCAGAGGGAGCATTTTCCCGTTACATCAAGCAAACAAAAAAATCCCCTTCCTCTTTTGCTCAATTCTATGACGGACAGAGCCCCAGCTCATCACTTGACCTCTATGAACCTCAGTTTCATTCTTGGTAAGACAATTATTAAAATGTAGCACTGTCCGATAGAGCATGCTGCCATGATGGAAATATTATACACCTGCAGTGTCCAATAGAAGCCAAGAGCCATGGGTGGCTATGGAGCCCTTGCAATGTGCTGGTGCAAGTGAGAAACGGAATACTTGATTTCAATGAATTTTAATTTAAATAGTCTTATGTGGCTAGCGACCACTCTAGCACACTGCATGGTATAACACCTTTTTCTCCTGGGCGACTGAGAGGGTTTAATGCAACCACTTTGTGACCTATGATCGTCAGGTGAGTGTGGCTGTTGGGAAGGTGGACGGGTTCTGGGGACCTGCTCTCATCTTTTTAGAAAAGGTGAGTTCTTAGGATGTGGGGACAATTAAAGTTTTGGTGAAACACATTAACCCTTTATTTAAAAATGCCCACAGTATCAGAATCCCAGGAGGAAACTCTCATGGAGCAAACAAGTCCAAAAGTTTCAAACAGGGTCTCAAACTCCAAGGCCCCCAGGGTCCGGGCACATGAGCCAAGTGGGCGGGGCAGGAACAGGCACCCACTGGAGGGCTGGTGCCCTTAAAGCAGCAGCCCCTCCTCCACTCCCTGCTGCCATGCGGGAATGTGAGCCAGCATTTCCAGATCTTCCCATTTTCAGGAGAAGCAGGAAATCTGGACTTCTATATGAAAGCTGCCAATTTTTAAATGTTGGTAACTAATAAGAATGAAAAAAAGACACCCCAGTGTTTGAGCCAAAAAACAAGACGTGACTTGGATGGCTTTTTTCTTCCCCATCCCTGACTCAGAGCCTGGCTCCTGGACAAGGCTCAGCAAATGTGCAGTGATGTCTCCCAGGACCCCCACGCTCCCTGAGAGCAAATCCCCGGGTATTCTGGCCAGCTGCTTACCTAGTTCCTGAGCCCCCCAGATCGCTGTTCCCTGCTACCCCCTAGCCCTGCCAGTACCTCTTCAGCCCCTAGAGACCCCCTCCCTGGCCCAGTTAACCCTAACAACTGGGCATCTCTGAGGGCACTCAAGGATTCCTGAGTGAGCCCTTTGCTTCTCTGCTCTGCGGGCTGCTGCTGGCCGGCAGGGCCCTCCTGCCCGGATCTGCCTGGGCAGGGCTGTGGAATGGAACTCTGTGACCACACAGCCAGGCCTGGCTGCAGGGACTGGGGCCCATCGGCCTTAACACTTCTCCTAATTTGGGGAAGCTGGTGCTCCTGGCTTGGGAATGACACAGGAAAAGGAAGCAGGATCTCAGGAGGGAGGTGGAGCAGGTAAGTTGAATGCCCAAGAAAGGGTGAAACAGAAAAGAACGGCCAGCTCCAGATAGAATGGTTGAACTTGGCTTAAATTTGTGGTTTCCATATGCACAGGCCTCAGAACACTGGATTCTGACATGAAAATGCTTTGCATATGCGTGTCCTGGGGTTAACACAAATTCGGGGAATTCTGTCATAGACCTCCCTCTTGGAAACTCACAGTGTACATTTGCATCCTAAAAGCTCTGAAAACTCCTATAATTACAAAAACAAAGTAAAGTAACTTTAACTCACTGTTTCTCAGACTTATTTGACCTGGAACCCCTCTCTCCATAACAGGTATGGTTCAGTGGGATCCCACATAGGTAAATGGTGGTGGCAGTCTCCTACCCAGCCTGTCCCTGGGAGCGGCTGTGCTTGGTTGAGCCACATGGACCAGTGCAGTGGGAAGGACCTCGCAGATGGAAGCTGGCTGGGCCTTGGCTGACAGCCTGGGGCCTGTTCCAGGGACCCGGGAGAAGCAGCTGGAGCAAAGCTGGGGGACGGGAAGCCTACAGCCTCCTGACTCGCTCTTGTCACCAGCATTTAGAGCCATCAAACATGTATGAAATGTTTTAGCGTGTGCCAGGCCTTTCCCAAAAATGATTTCATTTTAGTTCCCACATCACCCCATGGGGGGGAGAATTCTTACCCCACTTACAGATGAGGAAACCAATGCTCGGAGAGGTGAAGGGATTTGCCCGTGGCCACGCTGTGCATTGCCCGGACAGCACTTCATTCTCCGGCGTGTGAGGAAGCACACTGTGGTGTTTTCTCTGTGGGCTCCCAGGCACATCAAATCCCCTGATGAGTGTTTAAATCACAGATTCCTGGGCTCAACCCTAGAAATTCTGACTCAACAGGCCTGGGGTGGAGCTCGGGCATCTGTGTTTTTAGGAAGCTCCCCAGGTGATTCTAATAAACAGCCAGTTTGGGAAAGAACAGCTTTAGGGAGTACTCAGGTCTCCCTCGTTGGGGCAGAGGGCAATCGAATGTTGGCTCAGATCCCAATTGACCCAACCGTTTGTCCTTCTGATTCTTCCACTCTAACGAGTGTCCCAGGTACGAATTGGGATGTCAGCTCCTATCTTCCTGTCTGCCTTGAGTTGAGGGAAGGGGTTCCAGAGGGGGTCCGGATGAGGCTGGGGGTGCTAGGGGAGGAGGGGCAGAGTTGCCACCAGCCAGCTTGGACCCTCTGCTGGACAGGTTTCTGGAGATGAGCACATTCCTGCCACAGGAACTTCTTGGCTGTGCTTGGTGGGGAGACTCTTGGCCGCAGCCCTGGGGTGCAGAGTGAGTGCAGGGTGGTGGCCTGTGGGAAGCAGGAAGTGGGAGTGAGTGGGCAGTAGGTGCTGGCAGGGGGCTCTAGGCACAGCTTCTCCTGTGGCTTCCGTCTTGAATCTCTGAGGGGGCGGTTTTCTGTGTCTGAGCTGGAGGGCTGTGGTGAGGGGTATCTGCCTTTTCGGGGACCTGACAGTGTGTGCTGGGATGGGGGAGGGGTGGGAAACCACTGGACACAGCTGCTCTCCTCCTCTTGGGTCCTCTGAGCCCTTTCCAGCCCCCACTGGAGGACTGGGGGGTAGCGCTCTCCCCACCCATTACCCCTAACGGCACACACCAGCTCCTCCCACACCCACAGGTGTCTGCTCACTCACCTTGCCAATGACCCCGACCACCCTGCAGCCCCTCAGCTGCTCCAGGGCAGAACTCAGTGTGCGGATGGGCCGGAGCCTCAGGCTGCTGAAACCCTGTGGAGGTGGAGACAGGCCATGTAGCCTCAGGGCCCAGGCCTCCTCAGCCACTGCCTTCTTACCAGGCAGTGGGCAGCGCCTCCGGCTGCAGGAGAGCAGTGGCCACAGCAGGCAGGACTAGGGTACAGGCAGACCCCACCTCACAGGGACAGGCTGAGTGGAGAAGCTGGCCCTGACCAGCAGGGGGCCCACGCTGGTCCAGGGTGGCCACACTGCCTTCTTCACTCAGCCCCCACCCAGTCCTCTTTCCAGGCCTAGGGAGTTCTCAGAGCTTTCGAACCCGTCCCGTCCCTCGAAAGCCCCATCCACAGGAGGCAGATGCCCCCAGGGGTGGGGAAGTAACCTGGGAACAGGTGGGTCTCAGGGAACACACCCCGAAGACCAAGGCATGTGCCCCAGCCACGTACTTTGGGGAAAGGCAACTTACAAGATGCAGCAAGCCTAGGAGTATGTGTGCGTGTCTGTGGGCATGAGAGGTGTGCGTGCATTTTAAACCCTCTCTGACTGCCCACTGATTAGGAAAAGCCATAAGGGGAAAGTACTTGTGCACATTTGTGTGTGCATGCATTCACACGTGTATGCACACGTGGGCATTCATGCTGCAGATACTCACTGTGGTCCATTCAAACACAAACAGATCTGGGAGACTGTGGACACACGTGAGCATGTGTACAAGCTGTGTGTAAGGGTGGGGGGGGTGTGTGTGTACTCTGTGAGGGCGCGAGACTGGACTAGAGATGATTCACTCAACGTGTCTGAAAGTGAATGAACGAAGGAGGGTGTGGGAGAGAGAGGAAGCCAGAAGGAGGACGGCAGGAGCTGGCGCTCTGGCCATGAGGGGGGCCTCAGCTCTCTCCCCTTAGAGCCCTCAGGCATTTGGGGAGGGGTCCCCTCACCGTGCCTGGGCTGGTTCCGCTGCCCAGCGTCCTCTGCAGGTGACAGTTGAAGATCTCCTCTGCCCGCCGCAGGTACTTGGTAATTTTCAGCTTTACGGCCTCACATCGCTCCTTGTTGGGGTCAACTGTGGGGGGAAAGGGGTCACCAGGACCCACCCCCCCGTCTTGGAGGGTTGGGGTTCCTGCTCTCATTGGCCACCCTCTGTCCTCCACAGGAGACAGCGCCACTTTCTGAGGCTGGTCAGCAGATTCTGACCCCACATCTGTTCTTGAGCCCGTCTTCTAGGTGGGAGACCAGCAGGGAAGGAGGAAAAAGGAAGATGGCAGGAGAGGTTGGGAACCGCCGACACCCCTCAGCCTACAGCACTTTACAGTTGGGCCCCACCACCTTGCTGGCTGCCATCACACGCTAGGAAGGGACAGAGTGGGGTCTTCCATGTCCATTTTCAAAGGAGAAGACAGAAGCTCCCAGAGAGCACACCTTCTTCCATCTCTGAAGCCCAAGAAAAAGGCCAGAGTGGGGTTCAGGATTGGGGACAAAGAAATTCACTGGACAGGCTTGAAGCCCAGGTGTTGAGGGGTCTCATCAGCAGGAAGGTAGGAAGGTGAATCAGGACCCACCTCCTGGCCACCACAGCCCTCAGGGGTCTCCAGCTGGCCTCAGGGCCAGCCTCTCCCCCAGCCTGGAAATGCCTCACTTTGCCCAAAACAGGCCTCCCCTGCCCCTCCAGGCCTTTGCTGTCTCTTCCTGGAGCACTACCCAGCCCTGGAGCTGGACAGCACACCTATCATTGTGTAGTAATCAGATCTGAGTTTTGACTTCTAGAAAATACCCTCTGCTGGCCCAGCCTGGCGTAAGTTTCCCTCTTCCCTCCCTCATTGCTCTTCCATCACCAACTCAACAGTCTTCCCCATTATAACGTAAGTCCCAGAGGGCAGGAGCCCAGCCTAGGCCCAGGGCATGGAAGCACCCAGCCCCCCCGCCCCAAGCCAACACCTTCATACCCTGCTTTGCCACTTGATAGCTATGGAACCTTAAGCAAGCTATTTAACTGCCCTAGGCCTCAGTTTACTCATCTGGAAAATAGGAATAAAAATAGTTCCTATATACTTGGAACTACGTGCAACAACATATATAGTAATTTCTATTACTGTGAGGCTCAAATGAGTGAACACAGGTAAAGACCTCACACCAGGGCCTAGCGTATAGGAACTGCTCAGTAAATGCTAGCTCTTATTATCATTCTTCACAGAGTCCTGCAGGGCTCTATGCTGGCCCTGCACAGACGCGCCCAGCACAGATGCAGGGATGATGGGACTAGCCCCCTGCTGGCCCTTCCCCACAGGCCGCTGCCCAGCCCGGCCCTCACCATGCACGCCTCGCAGCAGGACATCCACGCCGTTCTGGTAGTGGTTGAAGGCTGCCTCGTAGTCCTCACTGACATCGCGCTCCAATGCCAGCCGGATCTGCGTGGCTGCATCCACCAGGTAGTCGCGCTTGGTCATGTCAGGTGCCCCCGGAGCCACCCGGTTGCAAATCTGCTCCAGGTATATGCGGGCCTGGGACCGCGCTCGTGAGCAGGGCTCAGGCTCCAGGCCAGGGCCAGGTGGGCACTCGCAGGCCACCAGGCTCATGGCTGCTGTACTGCGGCTGCAACCTGGAATGAACAGATGCACCAGGGAGGACCCAGCTGGGCACACCTCATCTGCACCCTGGTTTTCTCCACTGAATATTGGGAGACTAATACTCACCTCCAAGGGCTGGAGGGATCAGAGCTAATGTGGGTAATGTCCCTTCCCTGAGCCAGATCTTTCTTAAGTGGTGGTGGTAATAGAATAATAACACGCTTGGGGCTCTCCCTTTCAATTCAAATTCAGTTCAACAAGTATTTCTGGAGCACCTACTCTTTGTTGGGCCCTGGAGAGAGCTGCTTTCACGGGGACTCCGTAGAACAAACCAGTGTACACAGTAAACATAAGGAGGCCACACACTCTGAGGCCAAGGCAGGGGCCTCGGGCTCAAAGGTCATTCCTCACACTGTTCCCTTCATCCTGCCTGTTCTGCCCTCCCTTCTCCTCCTGCGGGAATCTCATTTATCCTTCAGGGTTCAGCTCAGTGGCACCTCTGGGAACAGGATGGATTGCTCCTGCTTTATTTCGATTCCCTTGGTGCTGAGGTCAGTGTGGTCAGCGAGTGAGGACCCCCAGCAGAGCCTGGCAGAGAGCTGGGCACAAGGCCAGGCCTTAAAGCCTGTGGGCAAATGAAATGACTGAGTGGCAGATTCCGGTTGGAGTTAGAGGAAGAAGGGCAGGGCCAACCCAGCCCTAGGGAGGGGATGGCTCTGACTTGAGAAGGCCAGGAGGCCACGTGGCCTCCAAGGACCTGACAGCAGCTGGTCCCTGAACAGTGTGTGATACAAGTGGCCAAAGGGACAAGAGCAGCGGCTGCGGGAAAGGAAAGCGCTCAGAGGCCAGCAGAGCTGCCTCTGCCTTCATCGCAGCCTCGGCACCTCTGCTCTCTCAGGCCCCACTGGGAAGGGGCAGGGCCAGACTGCCAACCCAGGCCATTTCTGCCTCTGTGGAGAGAGCAAGGGGAGATGAGGAGTGGGACGGGGAGGGAAACCACACACCCAAGCCAGCGGGGAGCCGGACCCTGGCCAGGAGCGGGAGAGAGGGAGGGAGGGAGGGAGGGAAGCCGCACCCTCCCAGCATGGCCCAGCCACCCCTGACCTGCAGCTTGGACAGCCTGTGTTGGGAGTGCCAAGGCCGATGGGCTGGGCGGCTCGAGTCAGGCCCCAGCTTCAGGGGCCACTGCGCCGGGCCGGGTCCTGCGGGGCAGAGCCGCACGGCCGCACCTGGACACAGACAGCCGCGCGTGCAGCCCGCGAGGCCCTGGGACGCAAGGTGCACCGCCCGCTGGGGTCGGGCCGAGGAAGGCGGGTGGGGGAGTGAGAGGAAGGGGCATCCTCCCCTGGGGGAGGGGAATGGGGGAGGAGCCGGGCAAACACTGTACCTGCCCGAGCCAGGAGCCCGGTCCGCGCGGCCAGACCTACCCCTGCCGCCACCGTCCCGTCACCCCGACGGGAAAGCGTGCACCGCGGACCGCTGCTTAGCGCCCTCCAGCCCGGTGCAGGGGTCTGGCCGGGTGCAGCGCGGCCATTGGCTGCTGATGAGCTCATCCTCTAGCCGTTAGAATAAACCACCAATCAGCGTCCAGCTCGGCTTCTGCCGGCCCTTAAAGCCGCAGCGTCCGCTGTGCGGAGCGCACGCGAACGGGGGTGGGGGGCGGGGGGGGGGGGTGGGCGGGGGGGGGAGGGGGGGGGTGAGGGCGAAACGGGGGGCGAAGGCGGGGGCGAGGGCGAGGGCTGGTGGAAAGAGTGTTGCAGAGAGAGGAGGTCCGTAATTACCCAGGGATCCGGAGAGACTGCTTCAGAAATCTAGACCGACTAAAAAAGCACACATGCCACTTCCAGGACTTCTCTCATTCGTTATTTCATTCATTTACTCACCTATTTAATAATTATGTGTTGAGAGACTACTATGCAAGGAGAGCTTGATGCCGAGATACAGAGAGAGAGTAGACAGTGTTTGCTCACGTCCTCACGGGGTTTGCAGTCTAGTGAGGGATACAGGGAGTAAAGAACTAAAGACTACAGTTGCTACTTCGTCCCCGTTGTGATGACAGTTGTGAGAGAGAAGCACTACAGGGGCTTGGAGACTTATAACAAAGGGAGAGACCTCGTCTAGGCGTCAGAAGGCTTTGGAGGAAGTGACATCCGAGCTGAGCACACAGACCTCCCTGCACCCGAGTGCTGCCTGGAGTCATACTGTCCTTCCCTGGTGTTCTTGCTCTCCCGGAGACGCCTTCTCATACTGCGCCCCTTTTCGGACTCCCACCCCTACTCCCCATTCTCACTCTCAGCCAGAGACGTTGCTTCCTCCTTCCCATGAAAACATGGGAGCACAGACTTCTACCCTGCCTGCTGTCCATCACCTGCCAGGTCTGCACCCACATGCTGCCTCCACCTCTTGCCATAGATGACCTTTCTGTGCCCCCATTGAAGGCCAGCCTTCCACTTGGAATCAGTCTTGCCTGGTCACCTACTCCAGGACACTGCTCTAGCAATCCTCCCCTCTCCTACATGGTTAATTTTTGCTCCCACTGGATCATTCCCATCTGATACAAATATAATGCTTATTCTCTCATCTTAAAAACAAAACAAAACAAAAAACACTTTTGTCCTCACTTCTCTATCTACCACCCTAGGTTTGCAGCAAAACTCCTCAAAAGAGGTGTCTATACTTGCTGTCTCCAGTTTCTCTTCTCCTACTCTTTCTTGAACCCACTCTGATGAGGCTTTCTTCCTCAACATTCCTCTGAAATTGCTCTTGGTCAGGCTACCGATGATCTCCTAGTTGCTAAACCCAATGGTTGTTTCTCAGTCCTCACCTTACTTGACCTCTCAGGAGCATCCGACCCAGGTGATCACAACCTGTTCTCTGTGCACTTTCTCCCCAGGCTCCCAAGACCTATACTGTCTTGATTGCCTCCTGTCTTGCTGCAGCCTCTTCTCCATCTCATTTAATGGCTCTTCCCCTCCTCACCAACTTCTGAATGTTAGAGTGTCTCAGGGCTCAGTCCTTGACATCTTCTTCCGTCTCTCTATCTTTGCTCTCTTGATGAGCGATTGCACCTAATCTCACGTTAAATAGTATGTTTTCATACACTGACGATTCTGTATATCTATTTACAGATATCTTATATCTTCTGTATCTCTTAGGCTTCTCTACCAAACTTAAGTATTTAAGAGTCTAATAAAACATCTCAAATTCAACGAGCCTGGAACTAAACTCTTAAAAACACAGCCTAGAGAATATAGAAAACATTTGCAAATCAAATATCTGATAAGGGTCTAGTATTCAGAATATAGAAAGAAATTTTACAACTGAACAATAGAAAGACAAATAATATAATTTAAAAATGGGCAAAGATTTGAGTAGAAATTTCTCCAAAGAAGATATACAAATGGCCAATAAGCAGTTAAGAAGATGCTCAACATTTTAGGCCATTAGGGGAATGCAATTAAAACCACAATGAGATGCAAATTCACACCCACTAGGATGGCTAAAATAAAAAAGATAGACAATAACAAGTGTTGACAAGGATCTGGAGAAATTGGAACCATCATACGTCGCTGGTCAGAATGTAAATGGTGCAGCTGCTTTGGCAAGCAATTAGAAAGTTCCTCAAAAAGTTAAACATAGAGTCACCATATGATCCAACAATTCCCTCCTACTTGTATACTCAAGAGACCTGAACATATGTCCACATGAAAACGTATACATGCATGTTCACAGGAGCATTATTCATAATAACCAAAAAGTGGACAACCCACAAGTCCATCAATTGATGAATGGATGAATAAAATGTGATATATCCATACAATGGAATATTATCCAGCCATAAAAAAGAATGAAGTGCTGATTTGTGCTACAACATGGATGAACCTTGAAAACATTATGCTGAGTGAAAGAAGCCAGACACAAAAGGCCACATATTGTATGATTCCATTTATAAAAATTTCCAGAATAGGCAAGTTCATAGAGACAGAAAGTAGATATCAGGGAGGGAGGAAACAGGAGTAGCTAATGTGTATGGGTTTCTTTTGGGGGGTCAATACGTGTTCTAGAATTAGATGGTGTGATGGTTGTACAACTTGTAAATATACTAAGAACCACCAAATTCACATTTTAAAGGGGTGAATTTTATGATGTGTGAATTATATCTCAATTTAAAAATTATCATAATGAAAGTAAAAAGAAAAGAAACTGAGCTCTTGATCCTGCCCCACCTGAAACCTTCCTACCTAAAGCCTCTTCCAGCTCCATCCTTCCAATGGCTCAGGCCAAAAATTTTGGAGCTATCCTGGCTTCTCTTATTTTCTTACACCCCACTTTTAATCTATTAGCGTATCATAATAGGTTTTCCTTCATAATATGTCCAGAATCTGAGCACTTCTCAACCCCTCCACTGGTATGCCTCTTGTAGGGGCATCTTCATCTCATACCTTATCTACTATTGCAGATGCCTCCTGGCTTCCTGTTTCTGCCCTTGCCACCCTAAAAGCAGTTCTCAACACTGTCTCAGAGGGGTGCTTTTGAAATACCAGTCAGATTCTGTCCCTCTTCTCCTCAAAACTCTGCAAGGGGTCCCATCTTATTCCAAGAAATCTGAAAGTCCCTACTGTGACCGCCAAGGTCCTCATTGCAACCCTTTCCCACTGTTTCTCCAGCTTCATCTCCTACCAACCTCTCTTGCTCAATTCCAGCCAGTCGAGCTTGCTCACGGCTTCTGGAACATACCTGGCAGCTCCCTGCCCCTGCTTTGAGTCATTGCCCTGATGTCACTTTTTTGAGAGACCTACTCTGATTACACCCTCCCCACACCTCCATTCTCCCTTACCCAGCTTGCTTCTTTTCCATTGCACTCAACACCAATAGCATGCTATATAACTTACTTATTTATGTTTATATGTTTATTTTCTTTTCTCCCCTCAGTGTAAGATCCACGTGGGCAAGGACTTTTATCTGCTTTGTTCACTCATGTATCCCAAGTGCCTAGAACAGCATCTGGTACATAGAGAGTGTTGCTCAATAAATATTTGCTGAATTGAATGAATGAACTCTGAAAAACGAGAAGGAATTAACCAGAAAGTGTTTGGAGAGAGCAATGGAGGAGAGTGTTCTGGGAAGAGAAACAACGTGTCTAAATGCCTTAACAAATTAAGGAAGAAAAATAACATTTGCACATCAAACAGATGGCATAAAATCATTTGATAAAATTTAACACTCATTCTTGATAAGGACAAACTCTTTACTTAAACTTTAAACAAACTCATGAACTTCTTAACTTGTAGAAGGATTATCTACCAGAAACTTAGAGCAAACGCCATCTGTAATGGTGGAGCATTAGAAGCATTCCCATGGTCCAGTTGTCCTTCTGGCATATGGTAGCATCACACTTCTCTACCCCTTTCGAAGTTAGGCTTGCCCACAGGACGTGATTTGAAATGCTAGTGGATGGAATGTGAGTCATTTCAGGGTGGAAACTTCAAAAGCCAGCGCATGCTCCCCCTTGCCCTTTCCTCCGTGACCATGGATGCTCATGTCCATGGAGGCACGGAGACCCCATCAGCCTAGGGCTCTGAGAAATGACAAAAAGGAGCTCTTCCTGGTACCATGCCTTGTGTTGGACATGCGATGTGAGAAATAAATTTTTATTGTGTTGAGTCACTAGATTTGGGGATTGTTACTGCAGCATTTCTTGACCTGCCTTGAATGATACGCCCAGTGCAGTCAGAAATGAACCAATGCTTCTACTCTTCAACAATATCCTGGAAGTTACAATTAACACAGTAAGAAATTAAAAATAAACAAGAGGTTTAAAGATTGGAAAACAAGAGGCCAAACTGCCATTTGTGATGATATGATTATCCACTTGGAAAACCTGCAGCAACAACTGGTGAGTCCAGCAAAGCGGCTGCACACCAGATCAATATTTACAAATCGAGAGCTTTCCCATATATCAGCAATAACAATTTGAAAATGTAATAACAATTTTAAAATCCCATTCACCATAGTAACAAAAACTATGAAATACTTAGGAATAAACTTATTAGAAATATATAAGACCCTCATGGAGAAAAGAATAAAAGTTTATTGAAAGACACAAAAAGACCCAAATACATGGAGAGATGTGTTGTATTCAATAAGGGGATGACTACCATTGTAAAGATGTTGCTTCTCCCCAAATTGATTTAAAACTTCAATGTAATCCCAATCAAAATACCAAAATCCTCATAGAACTTGACAGGATGCTTCTAAAATTCATATGTTTATTTATTTGCTTAACAAAACCTTGTGGAAGGCTACAAAGGGTCTGACCCTGTTCTAGGTACTGAGGATCTGGCAGTGAAGAAAACAAACCAAAAAAAGCCTTCACGGAGGTTTCATTCTAATGGAGAAAAACTAGTAATAAACAGACATATAGATACATAATATCTCATGTGATTTTACACAGTATGTATAAATGTGCAACAGTAGCCCGTTGAAAAAGAACAAATGGTGAGGGTTAGGAGCTTGTCTTAT